CAGATGTGAGAGAAATAAAAAAAAAAAAAAACAGCGATCGAAATGTCCCGCCGAGAGATGGCTTCACAAAAAAAAATCGTTAAATCGCCTCGACCATTGGTGGACAGAAAAAAAACAAGATGGCGGCGATTCGAAATTCCCGTCTGAACCGATTCGAATAATTTACTATTCGATTCGATTCGAATATTCGATTCGAAATGCCCAGCCCTAGTTACGACCTGTTTGCGTTTTGTCTAAGTTCTCAATGAAAAGTGGCCCAAGCTGCCTTGATGGGTTCTGACAAGCGCCTATCGCACAACCTCTACCATTCAGGGCATTCGTATTTTCAGATGTTTTATGCAAAATGCAATGCAAATGTGAGACAAGCTGCCGCTTCTCGAACGCTCTGACCATATGCTCGTCGTGTGTTTTCACGTTGGCCAGCTTCCCGACTCATCGCATATGATTACATGGAACAATGAGTGCAAATGAGCATAGTCTTCTTCGGGATTTGTAAATAAAGTGAAAGCAGCTACTGGATAAGAAGTCGCGGCGTCGATGTACTAGCGACGATTAAATCCATTCATTCAAATGAAAAAAAATGAATGACTTCTTTTGCCACACCAAATTAATTTATCTTTATGAGAATTGCCAAATTGGATACCGAATTAGTCAACAGGTGTAATAAACTGTGTATAGAAAAGTATTCATCAAAAGATATCGTCAAGCTGATTATAATTGGAGCAGTGGCGTAGCATCCACCCCCGCAACCCCCGCGGTCGCGGGAGGGCCCACAGCGCAAAGGGGCCCAAGCGGTTAGAATTTAGAAATTTAAGCTGCAGAATTAAAAGCTGCATTGCAGAACCAGTAATGCACATCTTATTACCGTAGTAGTATATATTTATAGTATAGTATATATAGTAGCTGTTTTAGCTTATGTCCGATAGTTTTTAGGGTCATTTCCACAAAATATTTTTGCGGGGGGCCCACGTGAGTCTTGCTACGCCACTGAATTGGAGTCACCTAATGCCAAAGTGCCCAATCAGAATTGCCAAGTTGGATGTATGAAGAGGTGGGCTAGACCTGCTTCGCTCACCAAATAGAAGGCAAAACTAGCCAAATTAATGTCCAAATTATTTTAAATACCATTAATTAATGACAGTACCGGTAATTGAAATTATTTGGGACGGTATGATACAGTACAGAGGTAGGAAAATTGTTTACGGGGATATCGCATGGAAAGGGTTAAAGGTTCAAGACATGTTTCAACAAGTATGCCAAAATGTGCACATTTAACGTGGATATTTATTATTATTTTGATTCCAAGTTTTTTTGCATTGAGCTTAATTTTAGTACACAAACGAAATCGCGATCAAAACAATTCTAATTTGAAGAGAAAAGAAGTGCTAATAATAATGGAGAATATCATGTGATTGTTCTGGCCATTATATTACAGACATATTTCTCAAACAGTAGAAATGACAGTGGCTCATATCACGTAATATCTGAAATAATTAATTTGTTTAATATATGCTCTTTTTCATTTAGTTTTGTAAATATTTAGCAGATTCGTACGTTATTTTGTTTTAATCTGGCAACGTTGAATTAAAAGTAGAGACGCGAGTTTCATGAATATCAGTCTTCGACAGTGACGTGTTGGGACATATAGTCCGTTCATGCGGACCATTAAAGAAGGTGTGTTCCGTTTTTATGTTTTCGTATCTTCTTTAATCTAAGGTGTTTGACGTGAATATCATGATATCGCGGAGCTACGTATTTAACGTTAAGTAGTTCGTTTATATGACAACATTTCGAGTTTTGCTTCAGTGCTGATATTATGGTAAATGATGCCATCCGTTCATGCCAATTGACAGACTGAAATAGGTACGGTACCGGTACGGTACGGCATCTTACCACATTCGTTTAATTCGGGGACATTTTATGCAACGAGAGGAAAATGTTTGAGTGTACCGGTATCACATCAAAATTTGAATGAACATACTGTCATGCTTTTGCCATTCTGTGTTCACACTTGTGTGAAAATGAGATTTTTATTCATATTCAGGGATTGATGTATACCGTACCGTAAATGTTCTAACAGGGCGTTACCAGGTTACGGTAATGAGTTGTCACCTTAGACAGACATACTCCAACAAATACAGCCCTATTTAAATAGCAATATACCTACATCTAGGCATCCCTCTAGCTGAGAATTCCACAGAACAGTATTGTCAGAAACTTCCCATTCAGCCATTGTCAATAGGTTTGGTACCGGTACCTACCATACTGTACCATCAGACCATATCCAGATATCGGTACTGGCTCTGAGGCAGTATCATGTCTGCATGTGTAGTCTATGGAGACTTCTTGTTCCAATAGTAGCTTGCGATCATACTTCAATTTTTTTGGATGTATTTTCAAGGGAAAGCCAGAACTCAGCCATTTACTTTTATATTCATACTTTGTGTGTCAAAGACAAAAAGCCATTGTGACCTTTGAAAATGTAACTTGGCTGATGTCTAATAGTCGTATCCTCGTGTAAAATTAAAAGCACATCGAAAACACTAAATTTTATCTTGTACAAATGTAAGAGGGTTTCTCAATTAGGGCTCTGGTATAAAAAATTCTTATGCGAGTCTGAAGAATTGTATAAATCGAGGGTCATTTTTAATTGTGGAAACATTGTCTATCCTGATTATGGATGTTAGAAGTTAATTATGATCCACCCAGACAATAATTGTGACTTCTGGACTTTAGTGACCACGAATGTCCAATATTTGTGCATATTATAAAACTATACCCATCAGAGGTAATTGTGATCTAAATTGAAAAAAAAATTATATATTAATTAAGTTTTGTAAATTGGATATTTATAATCATAAATCGAGGAGTCTCGTGAATTCAGGCTCAGTATTGGTACAGTGGTTACTTGGTATGGCTTGTCTATTGTACTATTTCGGTGTAACTTCCCCTTATTATGTGCTGGCTTTGGTATTGCGCAATGTCATTTTCAATTGATCCAGATCCCTGAAAGGGAACACGTTTTATATTACATTTAAAAATATTTTTCTTGGATTGATAATAATTATGTTCAAAATGTCAATAACCTCTCATGTATATAACTTGTGTGGTCCATATTATATATTACTTATTCGACATGGGCGATCTACGGCCCGCGGGCAGAATCCGACCGCGGGCAAAATCTGCCACAACCATACTAAAACCAAATTAAATTGAGTTTTTGCTCGAGTTCATTGTTTTCCACAGTTTTTTCGTAACACTGTAAGTATTGTATAAAAAGTGTTAACTTTCTATGTCACACTTACATGGCCCACCAGTCTAGGTGGGCAAAATTTTTGACCCCTGGTTCGAAAACCTTGCCCACCCCTGAGTTGCAACATGCATCCAATGATCGTGGATGCTTTTTTGAACCATGCTCAGTAGTTTTTGAATAAATAATTTTAGGCTCATGTGTCATGCTTTTTTATTTGAAGAAAAACCTACGAAGACTCAAGTCCTTCTAAGGACCTGACGCTGGTTCTTTCACTTTCAAGATATGACTACGCAACCAAGAGGCGTATCAACACCCGGAATAGGCCTGCATCCATCTCAACCACAACTGTATCTTTTTTGAAATAATTCATCGATTTTAACTCCCTATGTTTTGGAGGAAAGATTTAATATATTTTGTGTGTTTGATATTCTTTGGAGTTTGGGTAATGACAGACACAAAATGGTATTGAGATCCCACTTTATTTTGTGAATGGGAAAATAAGGATTATTTTTTTATCACTATTTCCCGTTAATCTTTTTGTTCTCTTCAATTTTCATGAAGTATGCAGTTGCATTTAATATATTCATTCACATGGATTTACCAAAATTGGGAAACAGAATGTAAAAGATTGATTATAGGAATTGTAAAGTTGATCCAAAATCAATATATTGTTTTTTTAATTGTTGATAATCTCTTAAAGAGATTGTAACATTAAAATTCTGTAACATAGATGGATTGTCACAATCCTGTAAGGACAGGCAATAATTTGGAAAAATTGCGCCTTGGTTCCTTATAATCTTAGGTTACTTGTATTATGGTAGGTCACATTGAGTTTGGCAGCGTGTTTTCGTTACTTGGGACATTAACACTGAATCGTATGAGTACTAGTATTTCTATAGGTGTTTTTCTTAACTTTGTTCTCTCAGTATTCCAAACAAATTCAATCAACAACAGCAGTTTGCACGTGAGTATTTTAATAGTAGTATAGCGAGTGATTTGATTTATTCCTATTTGAGAATTCGTTACATTAATTCAAACAGTCCAAAGATGTTTCCTGAGTGTTTCATATCTTTACCTTGAGTAAACTGATAACAGTCAGGGACAGAGGTGTGAATGAGACATCACTTGACAATGTTGATAATAGAAACAATATTTTTATAACTATGTCATCTTATTTGACTCATTTTAAGATTTGAATTGAATGTTTTAAAGTATCATATCAATTACTAATCCATTTTTCTTTTATTAATACTTTTTCAGATAACCAGGCTTATTCGGTGAGTAATCTTCATCATTTGCGACTTCATGGCTTCGTCAGAAACTTTGGGGTCCGGGACTGCTATTCTGACGTTTCCTCATTTTTGCAGAAATTACTCGTATTATCACAAGTTATCATCCAATCAAGCCTAAATTCAATGTCTGTGGGTGGTGGCCTTGAAATGGTCTTTGAAAAGTTTAAGGGTTTATTCGTTACCAATTTAAAATAAATTAGATCATGTCAAACTGATTGATTATGGTTTCATCATTCATTATTGTAATTTAATTACAGCCTATGCACAACCTTTCCGGGCCGACATCTTCACCCCACCATTCCGGTTTTTACCCGCCAAGCAACGTTGCAAGCAACGCTCATGACATATACAAAAATTCACCCGGTGTCTCTGGTACTCCACCTGCTGGCATGATGATGATGGTGAGCAATGATAATATTGAGATATTAGCTATTTTAACCAATTTCATCTGCTTAACAAAAATTTTGGCGTGGCAGGTGGCACATACGCCTGCCATCGCACCGATTACTTTGCTTAGGCTTTCAGTACCGAATCTTGTGATGAGTGGGGATAATTAGGTGCGAGAGGTTGCTAGAATCCCTACTGCTGTAGGGTGGGTCACATATGACTGCTGGGGGGGTTACAGCTTCCTCCACCGTCAATTCCATGCATATGAAACAAATAACTGGACAATCCCATACTTGACGTATACTGGTAACAGGATGATAAAAATGATATCTTAGCCTTTCACTGTGATATATTGGATTTTTGTTCTCCTTGTGATAATTCTAGTTGGCATAAATCTCCATTTATTATTATGCTTTCATAAAAATGTAATATTAAATTCCTGTTCTATTATCATGTCGCATCATTATAGTTTTGCCTAAAATTCGAGTCTTTACGGAGCAGACTATCTTTTTTATGCAAATAATTGATGTTTTTTGGTATAAAATTGCATGTATCTTTTATTCTAATCATGCATTCTGAGATGGAGGATGGTGGGTATAGAGAGAATAATGTATCTCTCCATTATTATCAAAATCCTACCTATTTCTGGCAATCACAATGTTCCACAATTCGAGGTCCTTCATCATGTTTAGTACAGGTGAGGTTACTATACTGGGATGGCATAGGTCAGTGGTTCCAATCCCAGCATTCACAATGCTAGTTTGTCTTTTGTGATCAATTGCCTGAAATTTGTGGGAGCCTTCAAATAAAAGGAGGTAAAACTGCTATATACAAGGGATATATAGTAACTGCTACAGACACTAATTCTCATAAAAAGGACACAGAACATTATCGAATGACGACATGCATAAACATTTTAAATGAATAAACATACTCATTCCAATGATAAAGATCTTATGTTGCCCCGTGGCCTGGTTTGCTCATAGATGACTGGCACAGATTATAATGTTATCTTCGCTTAGTGTGAGGCTTTTTACAAACATTTATTTGGATTTATCAATTTAGTATGGTTTTAAGATGTTAATTCTAGTTATAGGTTTTCAATTATCATGAATATAATTCACACTATTGCTCTGAGCCCTCAACTTTCATGCTGCCAAAAAATAACAATTACGTTATATATAAGGGCTATTCCAAGTGACACTACAGGACAAGTCCAGAAATTTTGCAAGTTGTTGGAAGCAATATATTTTCACATTTTCAGCTACATGTTTTGTTTCATTGTCCAATCAGTTGCTTTATTGAATATGTGAAAAATTGCTCAAAAGTTACACCCAAGACTTACTTAGTAGATAAAAAAATATAGTAAAATATAGCGTGACACTACAGGACGGCAAATCCACCATGCACTAACAGTACGTTGTGTTGTGCTGTAAATTTTTGCGATGGTACAGTAGGAGCCCATAATATTTTCTGGTGCAGTAGCTGAACTACCCCTCTATGTGTTGCTCAAGTTACTTAATGAAACACTGTAGATCCATGTCAATAATGTGCATATTGTATGTGGCACTACAGGACGTGACACTACAGGACATTCTTCCACTTCGAAATAGGAGCCTCTATCATCTCTTAAAATTCTTGTAATAAATCGTTAAATGGGTGAAGAAATGTCCTACAGCACTGCAAACATTTAAACTTTATTAACTTAAATCCAGTGCGTCAATTCCATATGAAATGACTGTACCACACAATCAAACACTTTGTGTCAGGAATCATCACAAAATATGTCAATTATACCAAAATTTGTATATTTCAGGCCATTTTTTATAAACCATCAAAAACCTGGGTGAAATTTTAAATTGTTCGATGAAATGAATGCAGTCCAATAAAATTCCAATGTCTCTTGATATCAGAAATAAAAAAAATTACTTTCACTGCACTTTTAAAAAAATTGATGGAATTCAACTTTTGCTTGGAATGGCCCATAAGTATTCCCTTGAAGACTTTGTCATTAGTGGGAATTATCGAACTTTCTGCTGAATCCATGAATTTTTTACAATAATATTTTGATATTTAATAAACCTCGATTATTACTACTTGTTATTCTCATACAATTTTCTGCAAATGTATGTTTTTTAAATGTATATTAGCTTGCTGTTTTTACTTGATGTATTCAAATGTACAGATTTCATTACATGTATCAAGATTTTAAGAAAGCAGAATGCCTGAAACGTAACCTAGACTAAGTTAAAAATTAAACTGTCGACATAATTATATTCTGTGAATATGCCATGTCATGTTTTTTTCACATTATTGTCACTGTCATATGTTTAATCAGGGTACATTTGTGTGTTTGTTCCCAAATGGTGAATTACCGGTACTGGTTTTCAGACTTGCGTTATAGTTAAATATATTAAATTGACATTCTCTCTTATTTCCTCCTCTTTCGTCATAAGCAACCTGGACCAGGAATTTATCCAACTACGGATCAGAGGCAACCAAGAGCACAAATGATGATGGCTCAAAGAGGAGGCTATTATTATCAACAGATGCCACCCGTGAGTAGAACTGAATTGATTCCTAGGCTGCTGAATGAGGCTATTAGAGCCACATTTGACAACATTACCCATTGATGAGCTAAAATTTTGCGTAATATATTTCGGTACTCCCCAAGTATGTGAACCAAGATGGCGGACACCGGAACGAAGTATGTGCCAGGTTAGGGTTAGGCCATGATTTTATTCCAATTTTCCTTATTTTAGTTTTATTACGTGTTCAAGGACTAGCCAGGTGACTCCCGTAGTATTTGTATCTGAAATTATGGCCTAACCTGGTACACATACTACATTCCGGTGTCAGCCATCTTGGTTCGAATACTTCAGGAGCACCTATATTCCATAATATGTCAGTAAAATATCTGAAGGTTAAAAAGGCGCACAGTTTCATATCCTTCAAGGCCATATTGGTCTGATGTAGAAGTCGTATATGTATAACGGTTTTTCAATCATGTTGTCTGTCTTGTAGCAAACAATACATTTGCCAGTGAAGTCATGAATAAAAACATCTATTTGAAAGTGAATCCATGTTATCTGCTACTTTGATGAAGCTGACATAATGCCAATATTAGTATGTCATAGTTTTGTCAAAAAACTCATTCCTACTTCAGTATCTAACACGGATTATCAGTACTTGTCCATGGATCAGCTCTTAAGAACCACTATCTTGCACAATATTTTCTTTCCATTTTAGTCAAGTTTAGACTTACTGTCAATTGTCATGAAAATTCAAATATATTCAATTTGTTCTTCTTGCCTTATTTGAATTATTTGAGCCAAATTTTCACTGTTTTGAGTCTTTTCTTACATGCTTGATTCACTCCATTTCAGCCAAGATATCAGAGCCCGCAGGCACCTGCAACATCTCCATCATATTATCCGAATCAAGGTAAGAATTTTTGATCATATTGCCATTATAAATTGACTCAAAATGCTCGCATTGTATTGGGCGCTCCAGAATTGTGTGTACCGATATGGAGGTAGCTAATTTTGTTTGCCTACTTTGCATCAAGTGGTGTAAAAGGACTGAAACCTATGAGCAGGGGGTATATGAACTTGGTTAACACAGACACTCCCGAACTAGTAATAAAACTAAAATAAGGAAAATCGGAATAAAATTATGGCCTAACCGTAACCTGTTACACATACTACAGGATTACTTGTATTGTAGGTACAGGAATAACTGACAATATTACAACTTACAAAACAATTTTTGACGCTATGGTCTCAAAGACTAATTTTTTTTTTTTTTAATATTGATACAGATATTAGTAAAAACATACCTTTTATATATGCTAAATCCTATGCTATTGCCTATGTTTCAGAAGTCGTTTTCCTTCAGCTGAACAGCAAATTACTTATTGTGTAATTTTTTTCTCAATCAGTCTTTTGCTATTGATTTTCATATTCGCCTATATTGAAAATTAACTACAGACTTTTCAATTTTGTAATTGAAATTTTTGTCACAATTCTCATCTGAACTACAAATACTAACCCAAATTTTAGGGGTTCCTATCGTCACATCTAACTCGTATTATAAATTCGCTCACTATGAAATATTTATACATTAATTGTGAAGTGAACATGGTCATATTTGCGTCATGTCTCTTCTGTTGATAACTCTTGTCTCTTAGTTTTATTACCACGGCTTATTTGGTTATGACGTATCCAACAACTGTTCACGTTCCCATGGGTCCGAAGTATGTCTGCCAATGGAATTGCTCCATTCAAAATTATTTTCTTGTATATATATCACATTTTATCTGTGTCCTGAACTAAGCTTTAGTTGCATTCAACTCAATTTTTGGTGGCTATGAGTGATGTATAACCAAAATGATCTTACTTGTATGCTATATGGATCAATTTCAAGTTGTGAAAGAAAATTCAGTTAATTTATGAATGTGTTTTTGGGATTATTCCTTGTTTCATAGGATGTAAGTACTAGATTTTATATTATTCAGCGTCTACAAATATTGTTTGTACTGTAATTCTTACTGTACTGATTCAGTTTTGCTGAATAGACATCCTTAATAGCATAGAAGGTCAAAAACAATTTATATCTAGAACAGTACAAAAGTGTGATTTCTTTTGCCAAAATCTTACAAAGTAAAAATATTGGAATTCTGTATTAAATGTAGTTGAGGTAGGTAGAAAAAAAAATTATAAAAAAAAAATTATTAATTTTAGGTGAAGAACTTTTTGTGAAGTAAGCATTGATTCCTAAACGATGCATTTTATTTTTAATCAAATGCAGCTAGGTTTAGACTTGGAGGAAGGATTTTCAGAAAGCTATAAATGTGAGAATATAAATAAAAAAGTGGAAGTAATTGCAATTTGCAGAAATGTAGAGATTTTATTCGTCTCTGTGTGCAACCACCGACTTGTTGAAGATATCATGTTAGCTGTTGTAGAAAACATGGTCATAAAATTTGAAAAAAATACTCATATCTTCGTAAATCTGGTTCAATGCTATCACAGGAGAATTTGTATAATTTTGACCCACAATATGTACAAGTACCCGCATTTAAACATGATTTTTCATTCAGTAGTATTTTTCTTAAGCTGTACTGAAATCATGGTTTTTTCATTCACTCCTACAACTTTGATTGTGAGTTTCTGATTTGAAAAACATAATTTCATTATAAAAATTCAAGAATGGCTATTAAATGTCACTCATCTAGTGCAGAGGTCGTAAACCCATGGTTCGCGAGCCATAATATATATGGCTCTTTTAGGGACGGCATATGGCTCCCAGAAAAATCTAACATTTTAAGGCTAAGCTCACTGTAGTTACGAGATTTCAAACTCTTTTATAGCCAAATTTGGCTGAATATTACCATCGCGCGCCCAGCGCATACCTATGTTATGTGAGAGAATTACCAGATAGGCATTGTGACAAAACTAGGAGATTCTGGAACATATTTTGTGACATAAAAAAGCGATAAGAGTCGTGGAGCAATAGAGAAAAGCTTTTTGTCCGTTTGTACATATTGGTTATTTGTCATATTTAGATCGGACTAGCAAAGCTAGTTTTCAAAATACTACGGAGATGCATGAACGAAAATGAGTGTTGTAGATTTAAACTTGTTTTGCATGTGAGCAGTCTTTTAAGGCTCGCAGCGACAACATGCTGCATCAAAAGTCACATTAATTATATATTGACATTATGTGTTGCCTTGAGAGAGGAAATTTCAGGTCTTTTTAAGTGAAAAAATGCTATATGGCTTGTTCGGAAATGCAATTGAAAATATGTACTTTTTAGGGTTTTTTCGACGAAAAATGGTCCCGACCCATGATTTAGTGCTTGTTCAGTCACAGGATATAAACAATTCAATATCCTTGGAAGTGTAGTGTCAAATTTACATTTTTTGCAATTAATATATAAGTTTGTTCAAATAACTTTTTTTTAGAGTTTTGACTGAAATTCAAAGCCACATATATTGCCTATTCCTTCGTGGCTTAGGCAATGATTTTCTAATTCAATTCAGTTTTGTCAGTATATGATTGACTGACCATCTATTACTAAAAACCAGAGCCTTGAAGTGGGTGAGAATGATACATTCATATGCAATATATTTCCAGGTACTCAGTTTCAGTGGCCTCATGGACAGCAAATGCAGCCACAGCAGCAACATATGTATAATTCTCCTTATGCTCCGCAGGTTAGTTGAAATCTACTATGAGGACAATAAAAACAGATAAATGATGAACAATAAGTTGGTAATGGATATGGTTGTAATGTGCAAAAGTTTTTCGGGACTTCTTTCTTGACATTGTTTTATTTTCATTTTAGTTCGCTCGACAACAACAACAACAAATTCCGCTTCCGCCTTCTCAACAATTGATACCACAGCAGCCCCATCAGGTTTGTTTATTTGTTTTCTGAAAAGTAGTTATATTATAACTAAGCTTCACTAAGTTTTGCCCATTTGTGTTTTCACAAACGTACCTTGGATATTTTGTTGATGTATTGGCTTGTAAAAAAGCATCGCTTTGAAACAGTGGTTCTCAAATGGTGGGGTGCGTCCCAAGAGGGGGGTGTAAACCATTTTTTAGGGGGCGGGAAGCTAATTAAAATGAAAAAAATATTTGTTAGATTTGATCTTTCCCGCCTTTTTTTGGATATTTACAATTTCTTTATTTTGGATATTTATGTTCCATCCACGCATTTGCAAACATACTTTCACCCTACCATCTGTTAATTGTAGCTTATTGTTAGCTAGTTATTTTTGAGGTGGGTTGCGTGACTTGACAAATTCTAAAAGGGGGCGTTAAGCTAATTAAAAATAAGAATATATGTTAGCTTTGATCTTTCTCGCCTTTTTACATTTCTTTATTTTGGATATTTGCGTTCCATCCACATATTTGCAAACATACTTTCGCCTTACTATCTATTAATTGTAGCTCATTGTTAGCTAGTTATTTTTGAATTAGGGTTGAGAGAGACTTGACAAATTCTAAAAAGCGGCTTAAAAAGTTTGAGAACCACTGCTTTAAAATATACTTCGGGGATCAAAATGTGGATAGGCTATTAATTTTTTTCAGACTGATTTTAACATCTCTGTTTCATTTATTTTAGCCGCCTCAACCTAAAAAACAAAGAGTAAAAATCACGATTAAGGATCCGACTACAAATCAAGATGTTACCGAAAGCATATTAAAGGGTTCAAGAACGGCATCATTATCCACGCCTCCCTCTGGACGTTCAAGTGCTACTCCTCCAGCGGTAAGGTTCATAATATGAGGAAAATGCATATATATATATATATTCACTGTGTCTCTGATAGCTATCTTTTTAGCGTAGTCATATTGACTTCAGGGTTAACTCATGGTAACTGCTCTATTTCCAGTGAAACAAGAAATATGATAGGATTTATATATTTATCCTGGGAGAGAGGAAAACCGATAAGACTTAATCGTATGGTGAACCACGTCCTCTCGTCGGGTTGCCAGTCCATGTTGGGTATGGGATTAGTTAGCGAATTATTTATTAGTTTCGGAAGCATGGACTTGATGGTAGAAAAAGCCGTAACCGACCAGCGGCCGCGTGAACCACCCTACAACGCCGAGGAGTCCAACAATCCTCTTGCACATAACTATCCTCACATGGGATTTAAACCTGCGAACACATGCAGAATATTCAGAGGTGCAGTTGCGAGCGTATTCCTCACGCTTAGCACAATGCGCCACACCACCAAGCTGACGTCTAGTTAAAAAGGTGAACCTGAGTTGCTGCTAGACGTCTGCCTTGTTCAAAGAGCACCATCACTGGAAAAATTTTCCCAGTTTAAACCAGTTTAGCCCGGCCACTTCAACGAGCGGTAGCTATAGTCTCAATTTGAATAAGGCACAGTGCCTATATTTTGTAATGATATGCAAATATAAATTTTATTTCAGAGTGATGTTTCTGCAGAGTTTGCAGCAAAAGTGGCTGCTGCTATTGGAACATCCAAACCTGTAAGTCTGAGTTTCCTTGATATTGTGATCACTATAAAAATCTAATAGAATAAAATAAAATACAATTCAGATTGAAATTATGCAGTTCATGCCAACAATCAATTCTGTATTTTCATTAATTAGTTAGAATTGAAATGAAATCATCCAAAAAAAAAAACTGGCCATTTTGTATATATCAGCAATGGAATCGAACACCTTGTATTTTAAGTGAATTTATGCTTTGTTTTATGGAATTTTGAAACCACAGATCTCAAGCAATCTTAAACCTTAAAAGGTTAATTTGTTAAATAGTGCAGCACTACTTGATGTAAAGAAGGTGAATAAAAAAGTAGTTTCATCTTCATATTGGTACACACACTTCTGGAGTGCCACATTATTTGCAGTGACGATGGTATAGTACGGTTTTCTGGACTTTCATTTGAAATTTTGTTTATCTTATTTCTTCCACAATCACAGCAACCTATGATTGTTGGTTCGCCGGGTGGAGTGGTGGCCGGTATGCCACCTGGAAATCCAGCTATCATGAACGTGCAACGTGTTACTCCGTCTTCTTCGCCGAGGCCTCCTCACATGCCACCACCTATTCAACCAATGATGAGTACCCAGTTTATGCACCCAAGTCAAAAACATAGTTCTCCTGGAAATATACAGCCTCAGATGATGAGCCCAATGTATCGAACGAACGAAACACAACCATCACATCCGACTGCGTACCAGCTTCCACCCACTGCTCAAGTATGAACATTATTTTAATGATGAGATTTTTTATAGCATAATTTAATTTTTCAGCCTTCATTTGTGTTCAAACTGTTGTTATTTATGACTTCTACTATTATTAATATTAGGGTAATCCCGTAGTGTGTGTACCAGGTAAGGGCTAGGCCATACTTTTATTCCAATTTTCCTTATTTTAGTTCTATTACGAGTTCTGGGACTGTCTGTGTTAGCCAATTGAATATACCCCCTGCCCATAGTAGGCGAACAAAATTAGTTACCCCCATATTGGTACACACACCCCTGGAGCGCCAATGTTAGAATAGTTCTAGTATCATTCACAGTTCACTATTCCATGCTCTTAATCTTATAACAACTTTTCCATGAAACGCTTATTCATAGTTTTGCTCAGAACAAGTCACTAAACAAGCAGCCAACTGTATGTATTGAGCTACTATTATTTGGAAGAATCAGAATCTTCCCATTTCAGAATTGCCTACCCATGACGAGGTGACATGGGGTTTGAATTTGATGTGCAATTTGCGATGCCAACATAGCTGCATAAGTCTGACGCTTTAACTGCTGGACATCACGCCATAATGCAAATTCACTTTTTTTTTTCAATTTCAATATTCTGAGGTTTGCTCTTAGATTCATGGACTTCGGGATAGTTTGTCTCTCATGTTCAATATCTTTCTGTTTTTCAGAATCAAGTGTACGGAACATCTCCAATGTCTGGCAACATCCAGCCTGGTCAGGTTGCCACAAATATGCCCGATAATGTCCATACATGTTCTGTTCCGGCACAAGCTGTCAATATACCAAGCAGTAAACCACCTGTTGCCTTAACTCCATCGTCCAATTTAGTAACAGGGCCGCCTATTCGTCCAATCGCTCCAGTTCCCATACCTACAAATGTACAAGTGCTTACGAGAACTAACCAGCCTAAAGAAGCTGGTATTGCTCTGGTTCAAGAAAATGATTCCGCTGCTCCCATTTTGCCTAAACCAGTGCAAACTGTTGATATAAAACCAGATGCTAATATTGAAAAAAAAGAAATGAAACCTAATTCAGTCCAAGAGCCAGTTACTGGTGCTGAACCATCTCCTGTTTTGCCCCAGGCATCGGAGGTAGTCGAAAAATCAGAGCAGGTCGACTCGGAGCCTAAATCCACTGAATTTAGTACCTCTGATAAATCATCCAAAACTGCTTCAACGAAACCAGGTATTGAAAATGCTCCATCTGATTCTACAAAACTGGAAGAATCTACAAACAACAAAGAAACTGAGGATGCTGCAATTAAATTACCAGAAAAAGAGAACATTGTCCAATCTGTACCGGATGTAACAGAACCACCTATTTCAAAAGATGATGGAAAAGTGGTTGAAGTTCTGCCAGCTTCAACTGCAAATGAAATCACTGTTGAAAAAGATTCCCCTCAGGTAGATACTAATTTAACAACGGACACCGGTAAAGGTGAACCATCTGCAGATGTTCCTACCAAACCTGCAGAAGAAACCCCCAAGGTAAAGATAGTTCCTGCTACACCTCCTACTAAAGTTGTTAATAAGAATACAGAGGAGCAAAAAGCACCGGTACCATCAGCAAAGATTGTTGATCCAAAGACTGAGACCAAACCAGAGCCTGTACAGTATCAGGTTAAGGTTACTGAGACAAAAGATAAGGAGTCTGGGGCTCCTACGGTTACGTCACCAGAACCTCCTAAGTCAACTGGAGTGGTATCACCGCAACTGGACAGTAGTAAGCAGTTTAAAAAAGAGGAATCGGAGAGTAAAAAGTCAAAAACGGTAGCAACCAAGCAGCCATCCTTACAGGAGACTGAAAAATCTGCAGTTAATGGTGTTTCTACGGAAGCCGCTCATAAATCTGTTGAGTCGAATACAAAAGAAGAAAAAGTGGCTGATGCAGCAAATCCTAAAACATCAAAGGTGTGAATTAATAGGGTTTTTATTTAGTTACATGTAATCTTGACAGAATTGCGAAAGCTTGGTACTTTTCTAACTTCGACTTTGTCTGAATGAGAAGAATCATATAATCTGTTTCAATGAACTTCTCAGTGATATTTATTGTCATTTTTAATGAACTATTTTGAGGTTAATGCTACAAAATTTGTTGACTAATTAATATCAAGAATTAATTCTATCATCAGTTAAACCTGTTTCTTTGGTATCCACTTGCTGAAAGTTTGACAACCAAATTATTGAAGTGACAATTGATATATTTCTATAGGGAAAGTAAGTAGACCTACTAGTAGCTGAAATGGTGAAATGAAAAAAAAAATACTCAAAAGTTTACTGTGAATTTAACTGAAAAATCTTTTTATTTTTAAATAATTATTTTTTAATCTTAAGAGAGAATATTTTTGAACAAATTTTTAATAAACCTATTTGGTCCTGATAATCTGTTGTTACCTGCAAATTGAAAAATTCTGGATAGATTTACAAATCCACACATTTTGATCTGGGCCTAAATCATGTTCCCTTACACTGAGACACCAACATATACACATTAGGGAATTTGGAAGCTTATTCTCGCAATGTTAAACTTCTAATTTTAATTAACAAAAAATGTTAATTATCTCAGTATGTGAAGTTACTAAAAAAATTTCAATATAGAATGCTGAAACGAAGACTCCTGAATCAAAACCTCAAACAAAAGAGGACTCGACACACCGAAGAACATCTTCATCAAGTGAAAAAGTTGGAAACAAGGTTGGTAATTCAAACAAATTGTTTAAATCAAGTTCTTTTATGATTGGAAGTATTGATGAATGCAGTTCGATTTTTTTTTTCATCTTTTTAAGAAATATTTGCTTACTGAAAGCAAGGTCACAAGAATTCAATTGGAAATTAAAAAAAGGTCCTCAGCAGAGATGGGGGTGGGGGTGGACTGATAAAAAGCTATCAGGAAGCTATCATTTTTTTCTCATGTTTTACAGTGATAGCATTTTAATCTGAGTCTTGACTTGATTGTCACATAAGTCTCATCTGGCTAGTTTGCGTTTCGCTACTCTACATGTTGGATAAAAGCATGAACTGTAATTCCTAAATTTCAATATTTCAGACAACTGATACAGGAAAGACAAATGGTGTAATTGAAAATTCCAAGGCTCTCAACATCAAATATGATGACGGTAAGTTTCGTTGTCTCATTTATTCTAGAATTAATTATTATTACGGTACATCAAATGTAGACAATTATAATTCTATTTTTTAATGTGTTCGGCAATGTGTGCAACCTTTAATACAAGAGGGCCAGATACAGATATCTAGGGTGAAATCGTGAGCCGCACCTTTATTCAACAAAGGCCTTTTAGTAGTTGAAGGCACAAAAATTTTGTTTATTTATCCTATGATAGGCTTTGTTTGCTTTGCATAAGCTAGTTGTGGGGTATTGTAACGGGATAGGCATAGATAATAAATTGGCCTCGGGGTAGAGGCTTTCTAACACAAAGAATTGGAACTACCAGCGCGTACCAGATTAAACTAAATTGAAACTCGTGCCGCAGACCACAAATCATTCAAAATTGGCACTTCTCCGCGGGCCACACAATTTATCCTTGTGGGCCGCATTTGGCCCGCAGGCTGTACACCCCTGCTGTGAAATGTGTGCTTATTACTGGGCCAGTGTTTGATGAAAACATTGACTTATTCTATTTTTTTTTCAAGATCAATGGAGCCCAAATAACCCCAGGGGTAAGAGGCATTACGACAGTAATTTTCTGCTGCAGTTTCAGTATAAACCAACATCTCTTGAAAAACCGAAAGATTTGCCAGATATTGACATTGTTTTGGAACAGGTAAAATATTCAGATGTATTAAAAATGTAGAATTATAATTTCAATCAATAATAATATATTTAGCTATAGAAAGATGATAATGGATAATGTATTATATTTAAATAATTTGCTAAATTTTAAATTTCGCATCATTTTAAATTTGTTCAATTCAAATATATCTATTTAATAACAGTGGTATTTCATATTCCAAATTTAACTCCTTAAATTTGGTCGGAGGAATAATTTCATTGCAAGCATAGTAAGTTTTACAGAATAAATTAGTAATTTCACTCCCGATATTACTTAATTTTGCATGCAAAAAAAAAATTTGATATTTAAACTATGAAATTTCTCATAAGACATTGATTCAGGATATTTTTGTAAAAAAATATTTAGTATGATGACTTCTATTATAGATGGTATGAGGTCTCAAGCAAACTCGTTTATATGATTAAATTATTTTTTAGCCTCATAAGAGACTTGCTGGACCAATGACGCAAATGGAATATCGTGGTGGAGGGGGATCAGATTTTACTCCAAATTACATGCAACAAAGGTCTGGAAATAGGAGTGGAGGCAGAGTATGTACTCAAATATATCTTTTTCATTTTTACATATGTGTTAATTTTACAGACCATCAGAAGTGTGGAGGTCTTTATTACTGACATATGTGACGTAAGAAATCTGATCTGGGTCAGATTGGTTTTGATTGTGGTCAGGGGTGCAGCCTTGTTTTTCAAAAAAAGGGGGTTTCAAAATCGGAAATTCTCATTCCCTTCTGAAACAGTCCCAGTGATTACGCACTTGTTGAAAGAACTAACTTTTACAATGTAAAATGTATAATAGGACGAAAACAATCGGCGATTTTAACAATATGCAATTGCACACATTACTAGCATTAGAAAATTTGTATTTTAAAAGAAGACACCTAGTTCACTGGAACGACATACGTCTTACGCATCAATGCAAGGCGTTCAGCTTTACACTTATCGATTTTAATCGGTAAGTATGTTGATAGGTAATTGTCTGTCTGTATGTCTGTTAGATGCACGCGATATCTCACGAAGGCGTGGTTGAATCTGCTCCAAATTTTGCATGTGCATTCATCATATCCCGGACCAGGAGCCTATTGATTTTGGATGAATTATGTCGTATAATTAGCGAGTTATTAATTAATTATTGATGAAGATATCTGAATTTTTACAAAGCGAGAGATTTTTGAGACACGCTGAATGTGTGTGTGCGTGTCCGATGCGCAAGTTTTCATGCTAGTGAGTCAGAGCGAAGGATACACACCGCTAGATCGTATCTCGTGATTAATCTTTAAGCATTGTCCATATCTCTCTTGTAACTTTGACGTCGTCGCGATGCCCAAGTTTCCTTCGAGAAATTTTCCACGCTATTGAGTCAGAGCGAAGGATACACGCCGCGAGATCGTATCTCGTTACTTATAATTACTCTTTTAAGTTTAAGCAATGTCCATATCCCTCGATCAGGTTCGGGGTTGCAGAATTCCTCACCAAAATATCGCTAGGCTGTGTTTGAATACCCGGGTTAGCGCCGTTGTATTTGACACAAAATATAGGATTGGCAAATAGGCTATTGGCTGGAAACTAATCGAAACAATCCAGTTCGGATTTGCAGAATTCTTCATAAAAGAATTTCCCTGAGTAGTATTTCGACGACGACATGGGTAGTTGGCTATTGTTTCCTACATTTTTGATATTGGCTGAAAACTAATCAAAACAATCCAGTTCGGGTTTGCAGAATTTTTCGAATCTAAACCGCAGTTTCTGTTTTGGGGGATCCCCTAACTTTCGATCGATAAGTCTTCATTTTTTAATTTTTATTTCATTTTTTAATTGAGAAAGTTGAATGTCTGTCATATATATTTCTTCTTTATTTCATCTTAGCAAAGATCTCAAGATCATAGACGACCATCTCGTACAATGGGTCCGAAGATCATTCAGAAAGTCGTCTCCATCGATCGGCCAGAGGTTCAGCTCAAACGAACTGACAATGCATGGAAACCAACAAAACTTGACTCAAGTACTAAGCAGTCGCCGGAAGAAAAGGAATTCATGGTTTGTTTCGCTTCTCAAAATTTGAAGTGTATGATTCGGGCCGGATTTTATAACAACTATCCTCTGTTTAAATTGAGTTAGGTTTCAGTACAATTAATGATGTACTGAATGCTACAAACACAGAAACACATCTCAATAGTGTTTATTTATAGTCACTTTCTGTACAAGGAACCTAAAGCTCCCTCAGATTAAAGAAACATAATTTTTCCGTTTTCTATATACGGTACTTTTTTCAATGCATTCAAGAAATTTATGGCGAATAATTCATTTTGAAGAAAAATGTTTTTTCAATATTTTCAACGGTTTATTTATCATGATATTTTATTTATAAATTCTAGGAAATACAAAGAGAAGTTCGGGCAGTATTGAATAAATTGACTCCATCAACATTCCCAAAACTTATAAAACAAGTTCTTGAAATGAAAATAGACACTGAGAGAAAACTTCGAGGAGCAATTGATCTCGTTTTTGAAAAGGTAACTTCATGTGCTCGTCTTATCCATATATTGCATCTACTTTGGTTTAACACCTTTTTCGTTTAGCTGAAGAATGTTTCAACAATTATTTAGGAATTTTTAGTATTTAGATTGACTGGTGGAAGATCTGAGCGCTCCTGCAATCTCTGCTATTACTTGTTATTGAATTCCTCACTATACCTGTTGATATCCCTGTTCTACAGGCCTTTTAAACTGTAAAACAGAGGTTCCAAACCTTTTATGGCTTGTGGCCCGCTTTCGACTGTTTGAGCACTTATAGCCCCCTGTTTATTATTCCAGTTGTATTTATAGTGTCAGTTTGATTGGTATATTCCAAATCCCATTCTGTTCAAACAATTCATGCTCAACAAAGTGAAAACACCCTGTAAAATAACCTTATTAAGCAACAAAACTAAGAAGAACAGGGAGTTATCTTGTCAAGTGAAAAGTAAAATCAGTTTTGCGTCGGCATTGTGGCCCGCTCCAACTGCTCTGAGGGAAACCGCTGCCGTAAAATGTTGTTGCTCTTATGTCCAGTAGATACTGCAGGAAAAAATAAGATGAATAGAGTTGCAGGACAAGCATAATCTTTACCGACATTTTTTTTTGTATATAGGCAATTGATGAGCCAAATTTTTGTGAAGTATATGCAAACATGTGTCGTCAAATGACTGCCCTGCGAGTTGCACCAGAGCTGCCACAAAGCCAAGAACAACAACCTGCGCAACCACCACCCCCTGTTGAGTTTCGTAAACTGCTTTTGACAAAGTGTCAAAAAGAGTTTGAAAAGAACAAATCTGATCAAGAACATTTACTTGAAATGAAAAAGAAATTAGAGGAAAATACGGACGAGGTTTGTTGATTTTTGAATGCAAATGGCTAGTTCTTGCTGTTAGTCAGCTGTTTATAGTCATGCCCTGACATGGCAAACTACGGCCTATTGGCCAAATCCGGCCCGTTGCGGAATTCAATCTGGCTCGCCTGATGCTGCCACAACCAAACTGATATCAAATTTGAATGTGTTAATTAAAACATAGCTCAAGGTATTTGTTGATATTGCGATTAAATTCAGTTTTGGCACGCGGCTTATTGTTTCCCACTTCTGCTTTCGTAACACTGTGAATATTGTTCATAAAATGTAACATTTTACGTCACACTTACATGGCCCGCCAGTCTAGATGGGCAAAATTTTTGACCCCTGGTCATACCCATATTCATATGAGTTAGGTCACGAGGCTTACTAGGACCTTCTGATGTGACTAACAGAAATCTGCTATTCTTAGCTTTCTCAAACTCCCGCCTTAAGCTATTGGTCTTTTTACTGTTGCCAAAATTGATCAACACAGGAAACGAGATAAATATTGGTTAATAATAGGATCACTTATTTCCGAAAAATTTTACATTTGGTGTTGCATAAGCAATTTATCATAGAAAAGTGTTCTGCGGACTAAATAGGGTTGTTAAGTGCTTGTATGAGGAATAGCTTGTGGTTTGATGAAGTTTTACAGAATCGAAGATGGTGTGACGTTGAAACTTCAACCAGTCAATCAATATAACAAAGGCAGAGACAATAAGGGCCAAAGTTCATACAGTCTATTCTAATGAACTGCATTTTTACATTATTTTATTTTGCAGGAAGTTGCACCTCAACTAAAAGAGGAATATGATCTTGCTGAAGCAAAAGAACGCCGTCGAACGCTGGGAAATATTCGATTTATTGGTGAACTGTTCAAGCTACGAATGTTAACTGAAAACATTATGCATAGCTGCATTATGTCACTGTTCAAAGCTCGTGATGACGATCACCTCGAATCTCTATGCAGATTATTGACAACAATAGGCAAAGATCTTGACCATGTCAAGGGGAAGGTATAAGTTCTAATTCGCTAATATTTATACAAAAATAGTTTTTCATGTTCATTTTGCGGGAGAGGAAAGCTGATGGGGCAGCTCGAACATATGGCAAATAAAAGCCTCCTATCCGGTTACCAGTCCATGTCGTTGTTTTTGCATGCATGGACTCTCAATAAATACGCAATATTCATCGTCTTGTTATTCTATTTCCTACATCGTCCTGATCAAATTCCGGTACTCCCGCCCGAAGTATGTGAAGCAAGATAGCGGACACCGGAACGTAGTATGTGTACCAGGTCATGGTTAGGCCGATATTTCAGATACAAATACTACTGAAGTCACTTGGCTAGTCCCCGAACTTGTAATAGAACTAAAATAAGGAAAATTGGAATAAAATTATGGCCTAACCCTAACCTGGTACACATACTACGTTCCTGTGACCGCCATCATGGGTCACATACTTCGGGAGTACCCAAATTCCTTTTTCATTTATTTCATATCCACTGTTAAATTGTAAATCTTATAGGTGGGCTTATGGGCTTAGGCATGACACAAGGTAACGGAGCTCTTTAAAATAAGTGTATGTATGTGTTTTCTCTGGTAAGCTAGTTTGGGTAGCACCATTACCTTTGATCAGAAACAACGGCTGTTTCCCGGAACCTTACCCAGAAATATTCTTTCCATACCTAAGCATTGTCAAAACTTTTGATGCTTATTTTGAGTGTATTTGTGAGTTGGCGTTTCAAACTTCTCTTTTAAATATTTTAAATAATGACGTTAATGTAGAAATATGTAACAAGTTTGTTATTATTTTAGCAACGTATGGATCAATACTTTACCCAAATACAAAGAGTTATTCAAGAGAAAAGAACATCGGCTAGAGTTCGATTCATGCTTCAAGATGTATACGATCTCAGACTTGTAAGTGCTTGAATTTGATAATTAATTATGGTGAATTTATTTTGTAACAAGACAAGTATATTAGTTTTGAATAAGCTAGATTATATACTTCTTCCGTACTTATTTCATCCCTTTGTACCTGGATAATCAGTCATATTATATTTGACAATTTTAATTTTTGAATTTCCTTTTTCTAGAACTCCTGGGTACCACGTGCAATTACGGTACAAGGACCGAAAACTATAACTCAAATTCATCAGGATGCGAAAGAAGAACAAGAATTACTGCAACTCAAAATTGCAACTGCACCTTCTGTACCGCAACCTATGAAACAGGTACAAGAGATATTTTCAAAATTCTGGGAATTTAACTTCAAAATAATGGTTTGCAACCTTTTTTGAGTGACCCTAATTTTTAAAAAAAATTGGTGAAATCTCACGATCCTAGAATATGCTTAAATACTAAACGTCGTCTATTGCTTTTTGACTACAAAATTAAGTTAACAATACAAAATAATCATTTTCTATGTAGCATTTAGATCACCAGATATTCCTTTTAAAGTGAGAAAGCCGAGCTTGCTTGCCTTAAGCCCGTGGTTCTCAAACTGGGCGTCACGACGCCCAAGTGCGTCGTTTCAATATTGATAGGGCATCGCAAAACTTTTCTTCTTTTGCGGATTTATACCTACTGTGCGTAGAAAAAGTCAAAATTTTCGTTATTCTCGTTTAAATCATACTTGAGAACTGGATATGACAATATATTAATTATTGTAACGATCGATCTTATCTATATGTGACTTGACAAACATCACGGATCATTCAATACTGTTCCTATTATGACATCACACAGGCTGGATTAGATCGAGTCATGCATGCCGATCATTTTTAATTCTTTCATGAACATCGGAACATCAAGCGTTGTTCAGCACTTCGTCTGCGCATTGACCTTAACAGATATTCAATATTGACACCACAGCAGTTCTCTTCAGGCATAATTTAAATAAAACTCATTGTAAAAGAAGTCTCTTATTGAAAGGTATCCAGACATTTTTCACGGGGAGTCGCAGCTTAGCCATATTTTTGGAGGGCGTCGCAATACCAAGAAGTTTGAGAACCACTGCCTTGGGCGAAATATTGAGTTCGTGGCATGACTTTACTAAGCATGGCAAAATAGATTTTTGTCAAGTATTTACACCTTGATACTTGATATATATAATTATGGAATTGAATATAAAATAAACAAACATTTACTATATCATAGAATTAATATTCTCATTTCGTTAAAAAATACTTGATCCAAGAGGATTTTCAGCCAACCCAATTTTTGGTCATGATCCGCATGTCGGGGACACTGCTTGAGAAATATCTGACGGAGGATGTCAGATACCCGCAACAAAAATGTAATCAACTGGAAAAACTCATATAACCATAACACTGCTGAGCTTGAAATATACTTGCCAAGCCAAAAGATACTAATTTGTCATATTTAAAAAAAAAAATGCTGACCATTTTTTATTTCTTACTCTTTGTAGGGAAGTCGTTCTGGCGGCCGATTGGGAAGTCGAGGTCACGGGGGTGAAGATGGTTGGACAAAAGTCCAAACGACTCCAAAACCAACTCGTTACGATCCGAGTAAAATGAAGCTGAAAACAAATCAATTCGATGAAAATAAAGTGACACTTGGTCCTCCGACTCGAAATTTCGGAGGTTGGAAATCTGGTAGCAGTACAGGTGTTTCAAAAACTGGTTCTGGAAGTTATTCACCATCTGCCTCCATGGACAGGACACCGGAGACTGGTGGCAGGTCCAGCACACCAACCAGTATGATGAATAGATTTTCTGCCCTCGGCCAACAACAACAACAACATCCGGATTATGAATATCAAAGAAGACAAGGAGGGAGGTATGTATGGTTTTCAAGCCAGCCCTTTACAGCAGGGACAGAATAAGAATTTTATATTTATTCGAGGGAAGAGTAAAGACAATAAGATGGATTAATAATATGACGAACCATTGCCTCTCGTCCAAAATCCATGTCGGGTATGGGAATAGTTAATCTGTTATTTGTTTCAAATGCATGGACTGCCATGAGGGAAGTGGTCGATCACGTAAACCACCCTACGCCGGCGTGGTGTCTGGTTACCCTCTCACACAGGATTCGAACCTGTGAACATGCGCAAGGTTACCAGAAGTGCAATGACAAATTTACCGTTTCTTTTTGTACACCCACAATGGGTTATGTTAGAAAATATCATAATAAAAATGTGTATTGCTTAAATATAGTTGTATTAGATAGTTTGGCAATTGATTCAAATTGAATTTATGTACATTGTACACTATGTTAGTTTTAAAGATTGGTTGTTTGGTATTCAGGCAATCAAGTCGCGAAGGAACCCGTTCTGGATCGAGAGGTTCGATGGGACCACCATCAGCTTACGGATCTGGTGGTCGTACCCCAAGAAAGGAAGAGAGAACGTCTGCATTGGAAACTGCCCGTAAATTAACATCAAAAGAAAGAAGCTTCGAAGGAAAACCTAAAACATCTAGAGGTCAGTCTGTTATTTTGGATCTCTGAACATAAGTTTGATGTTGCGCTATACTACACCAGTTCATTATGATTAGGACTGGCGGGAATTTTGATGTTTTTTTTATTTTCAAATCAACTTCTGGAATCGAACCGAATAATCTTAATATTAGGGAGCAATTCAAAAAATGTCTCCATTGTACAATAAGAATTCCAGCTTCGATCCTGTGATAACATGTGTGCAATTACCTCCATAATACCACTGTAATTTTGCTGAAACTGTTTTATGAGGCTAGTCTCAGATCTCGGCGTGCTAATAACACTTTCAGTAACGGATTTTGACGGCTATTGTTACAGAAGCCCAAATAGGCATTTCAACTTGAATAGGTTAAGTGACATCTCGTTTTCCATTTAAAATGAACACCAGAGATTAATTCGGGAAACTAGTAAAGTGAGGGCGAATATCGTTTATGCAAAATGCAGCATCGTTTGCTTGATGAAAAATGTCTGGCGACGGTTGTTAAGAGACTTTTTCTGCCAACGCTGTATTTACTTTATTTTACCACACGATTTGATTATTCGCAAATTAGCCACAAACTAATTCAATAATTTGCAATTCGATTTAGTTTCGCATATTCAATTAGTTTGGACAACCCTTGCAATTCTGATGTTGTATTTTATGCTCATATTTTTGCCACACTATACTGGAAAGAGGTTTAGATATGTATTGGCTTTCACTACATCACAGAATCCAGTCCATCTCTACGGCCGCAACGTTCATCATCTCAACAAAAGCAACAACCAAGTCATAATTATAATACTGATCTTGATGAAGAAAAAATGCAAGCTAAGAGTAAAAGCATTCTCGAGGAATTTTTGAGTATTGTTGATTACAAGGTATGCTTCTACTTGTTTGATTTGGAAAGCCTATGGTGTTTTCAAATATAGGGGAACTTGAAAGTACTTTCATTTGGATGTATGTGATGTTGGTTTTCTGTACGTATATATATTTTGCATGTACTCATGTATTTGGTGTGTAAAAATTGTTGTAGAAAGAACACGAAAGAAAATAAGGAGTATTTATAACAATAACGTTACATACACTATAAACCAATTTGATTTGGGAATGGAAATAGCTAACAGATTGATGAGCAGTTTTTAATAAATGGTCTATGGTTGCAACTAAATTTTGAGTACTCCCGTCGTATGTGTACCAGGTTAGAGTTAGGCCATAATTTTTGTCAGATTTTCCTTATCTTAGTTCTATTACGAGTTCGGGGACTGTTTGTGTTAGCCAAGTGAATATACCCCCTGCCATAAGTTTCTGTCCCTCTACACAACTTGATGTAAAGTAGGCAAACAAAATTAGTTACCTCCATATTGCACATACTTCTGGAGCGCCAAATTTTGACCATTAACTATCATCTGAGGTAGTACTTCATGTGTAAGTTAATTCATGCAGGACCTTTGCGCTAACTGCAGTTAACTGGGTAATCTGTCAATTTTGCTTGGTTAACAGATTAAAAATAAATTTTTACTGAGCTTCTCAGCACTGATTATAGTACCGGTATTTTAAAAAACTTTGTCGACTTTTGAAGTAATAATGTAAAGGAATTGAGATCTATGAATTTTTGCATGATAAAATTATATTCCGATTGATATTTTGTTACAGGAAGCAACAGAATGTATAGATGAACTGAACGCTCCTCCATCTTTATTGCATTCGCTTGTCTTTATTGCTCATGAATTCACTCTAGAGAAGAACACGACTGCTCGAACAAATATAGGAAGACTCATGGCGCATTTATTAAAACGAGGAAAACTGTCTGCGGAACAGTATATTAAAGGGTATGTCATAAGTATAAGTCTATTCAAACATTTATTGTTACTCTGTATTTATCACTCAGGGTGTGATAAATTGTGTATGGGCAATGCTGAATCGATATCCCCCTCACCCAGGGTGTAGTAAATTATTTGGGCGATGCTGATCTGATAGCTCTTTACATATTGTTAGATATCCGTGCCGTTTGTATAGAGCAGGGGTTCCCAAGTAATAAGTAAAGTAAGCTAAAACCAAACAGTGATGTCACAATAAGCACATACATTTTCTATAGTAAAAGCATAGAGCAATGCCTATGGGCCTGTTTTACAGTAAGCCATGGTACAAACTGCTAAATTTAACATGGTTTGTCATATCTTAGATGTGTTGTACATCCATCCTCTACCATACCTGAGTGAACCCATGACCTGTTTGCGACCCTACCTACTTATCACTCCGACCCAATTTGGGGTCACGACCCCTGGTTGGGGAAGCCCTGGTATGGAGCCTTGTATGAAGTGAAATCTGTGAATGTGCGTCGATAAAATAATCTAATAAAGACACTATGACTGTATGGAATGTTAAAATTGAAATTTACCCTTGAATTTTTTTTATAATTTCCTAATATCTTTCGACATCTTGAAGTGAATATTTGTTTCTACAAAGTACATTAACCATGAAGGTTGATACGATTTCATCGTCTTATATTTTCTTAAATTTTGTTTCAGTTTGATGGGGTTGTTAGAAATGGGACCGGACTGTGAAATCGACATTCCCAAAGTTTGGGAATATATTGCTGAACAGATGGCTCCTGTTTTTGAAGATGAAAGTGAATCAGATATATCATTATCTTGTTTAAATCATCTTTCATTTCCACTTCAAGAAGAAGATAAATCCGGAATATTTGTTGCGGAATTTGTAAAAGCAGTGATAAAGAATGTTGTGAGTTTTCTTGCCTTTTTCGATACCCAAATATGATGTATTGGTCTTTTTTTATTCATTTTACCATCATCTTATAACTTGACACATTTTTTTCCACTTTTATTTTGAAATTATTTCCCTACGGTAGTATGATTGTTCCCAGCTAATTTGAGCGGAGCGAATTCCTCCTATTGTCCACTTTTGAAATCTTATTCCTCTCTCCCTCTGCATAAAAAGTTATTATTTATTCAATCTTCATTCAATGGTTAGCTAGTGTTATAGACGCTAGACAGGACGCACTCCGGCTTTTGGACAGTTTGATTACGTCTGTAATTAATAGTGTCGTTATAACTAAGTGCTGCCTATGATAGTAATAAATAACTAAAGAATAATATTAATACTACATCAAATACAAAGCAAAAACATTCTCAAGAACCACAGGAAAGAATTATTTCCTGACTGGAAAATAATAACATTTTCTTATTTTGATTAACAGACAATGGCGACATTCGTACTTCGGTGGCGAAGAAACAATATGGTTTGGTCTAAAATTCTTGGCAAAGACAAAACTTATACAGAGCAGTTTCTATCGCAACATGTGAGTCACATCATAAAAAATTTACAGTCTTCCCTGTTTAACAATATTGTGTTGTTATGCTTTTTAAATATGACTAGAATGCTAACTTTAAATTTTAGTTTTCAATTCGTCAATTTGGAATCAATAGTTTGCTTGAATCTAAGGAATAAGTATATGTCGGGTATTTGTCGTCAGCCTGGATGTTAGTGTTAGCTCACTGTAACTACTTTTTTACAACGCTTTTTACGCCTTTGCTCAGAACACAAACCTGAACAGCCACAGATATCCTATGATATTTAAAAAGCTGTTATTCTTCAAAGAACTGAAATCTTTTCATTTTGTCATGCTCACCCAATTTTATTGCACCCTTGGTGGGGTATGGGCTTTTTAATCAGACTATTTATCTCTATAATTGTTTCATTTTGATTACTATTTTATTTATCATCCAGAATTTACAAGATTTATCAGACCTAACGGGAAACCTACAAGAAGTTTCTTCTTCGTCAGAAGATAAGCAATACAGATTAGAGCAAGAAATTACGAAACTGCTAGAATCGAATAAAACAAATGAACAAATATTCGACTGGGTTGATACGAATGTTTCTTCTAATGAAGTCAAACAACCTGTATTTATTCGTGCTTTGACGATAGGAGTCTGCAAGAAAGCTATTGATAGTATGTCATATCTTCTTACTTGAATTGTTTTATCTGAGAATAATTTCACAGATTGTTATCCATCCGATTTACCTTATTATTTAACTACTAATGTCCATGTGGGAATAGTATGGTGCTCAGATTTTTGTCCTGTCCGTTGAGAGCCCCACAATACATTTATAAAAATAAAAACAAAAAAAACATATTGGAACATATTTTAGATAGAACATATCTATTGTGCAAAGCCTCCTTTATTAGTGAACATTCATAAACAAACAGAAGTTCAAATGTTAAGAAAATTTCTTCATTTCTATGGAAGTGGGTTCTGTTTTTGAGTCTCCCTGTATAATCACGATTTCACTAATTCAGTGCCATATTATCATGAAAATCGGTAAGGCTGTGGGGATCCTTTGCTAATGGTCAAATTTTAAATATTGTCAAGACCGAATACTTGTTGAGAGATACTATTCTGTTTTTATTTTACAGTGAAATTAATGACTGTAGACAAAAAGAAGATGACAGATTGGAGCATTTTATTGAAGAAATATATTGAAAATGTTCCAGATAGAGAATTACAAGCTTTATACGGTCTTCAATACTTGATGGTTATTTTAGAACAGCCTCCAAGTAAGTCATTAGGGAATAAATATGCAACGTCAGTGAAAGCATGTCAGGGATTGCTCTAGTCGAATAATTAGTCCCTAAAAATTTGGAATGTCTGATATAATTATTTTACATCAGGTGAATTCAAAACTAGGTTATTACCTCGCTTTGTACTGACAGGTGAAATCCAAGGCAACGTCCATATTGGTTAAATAATGAAGTGTCAGTATAAACGTTTATATTGTATTAAAATTTTGTTTTTGCCGATTACAAATGTAACGTGGCTGGGGTGTACCTTTTTTTGAGTTGTGGGTAAAAAGATGTACCATTTTGAAAAAGGTTAACGCGCACTGTTCTAGGGTTATTTTGAGAGACAGGGGCCTATTTAAAAGTGCGATTAATTTATAAGCATTACTGAAAATGTTCCTGTTTTTTAGATGTGCTCCGAACTTTTTTTGACGTTTTGTATGACATGGATGTCATTGTTGAAAGTTCATTTAATAATTGGAAGGATTCAACTGATCCTAACGAGCAAGATGGTAGAGGAGTTGCCTTGGCTTCAGTCAATCCATTTTTCACGTGGCTTCGTTCAGCAGAACCAGAGAGCGATTAACAAATGACTTTTTTGTTGATTGATGGAGGGAATGCTGAAAATGATGGAAAATTGCTTGCTGGGTTGGATTAATTTGTGTGCGGTAGATAATTATCATGAAAAATGTAACCGTTTATTAAATGGTGGCGAAACCCTAGATGGTGATGGTTGCTTTTATTACAAGCAAGCAATGGAGCAAAGACTCTTCCCTCGATAGCGTTTTTCCATGTCTTTTGTTTCTTACAGATGACTTTTTACTTGTAATGTGTTATGTAGATCTATTTATAAGCTCGATATGTGTCAATTTGCGTCATGCAGAAGTTTTCGTTCGTGATTATTATTATTACAGACTCGTAGTGATTGCTGCTGTCCTGTTAATTTAAGTTTAATCTATAGACAATTGAATTGAATGACTTGTAAAAGGTGCCAAATTTCAGCATTTGCCACACAAGTTTGTTCGAGATTTAACTCAGATTTTTGCAAACTCATTATGGTAAAATAGTTTTGAATAGTAACAAAACTGAAACCTCTGAAGTAATACCTTTATCATCATATCTCATCAAGTGTGATGGATGTTTTCCGAATGATTTCGAGTTTGTTTACAGAGATTTTTTGATATCTGAATTAGAAGTTATATCTGTGTTTGGCACTGTTGAACTCATCTTTCAATATTTTTCATCTTCTTTAGGCAAGAACCTTTGTTTGTTTTCCCGAGTAATTTACTCTTTACTTTTCGTGATTTATTATATGTTTAAATGCTTTGTTTTGAGAAGCTAGAATTGATAATTGAGAGCATTGGATTGGATACCTTAGATTAGACAAAGATATTTGATAGTGACCATCTCCTAATTTTGAATTTTTTTTTGCTTCCAATCATTTCCTTTTTTGCATGCTTATCAACCAATGGTTGAATATCTACAATGGTGCGGGCTCCGAAAAGACTATATTGTTGTGAACTGATTACCATGTGTGAAATGTAACAGATTCTAGGAATACGTGATTGTTTCAAAATTCGTGTCATTATGGTAATAAGTTATTCAAATGTCGCTTCATTTCTATCACAAATAAGATGAAATTGGCGTTCCTGAAGTATGCGCACCAAGATGATGCACAACTTCATCTTGGTGCACATGCTTCGGAAGCATCAATAAATTGCGGTAAATTGTTTTTTAATCCTGTGTAATTCGTCCATGCTGAGATTCAGGGCTGGCAGTCTGAATCTATTCAGCAGTGATATTTAGAAACGATTGTCCTATTTTATTTGTTCGTCATTATTCCTATCAGCCAAATTCCTTGGACATGTAATGTTTTTGGAATTTCAATGTCTATACTATGAACTTTAACGAGTACAAACATATTTTCTGGGTGAACCATGTTTAGTTTTTGTGGCCGACTGAAAAATGTAGATACTATGGCTGATTCTTTGAAATGTAATTATTGACTTCGTTCATTATGTACAAAAACAATTAAACTGAAATACAGATTGTGACACAGAAATTGTGGTATTATTTTTACTGATTTCTATTTAAGGAAGTTATTGCATGAATTTCTGTGATAACCACCCGGCAGTCCGTCAAACTGTCTGTTGCTATTACGCAGCTAATCAATACGAGGGCAGTTCCCGTGATATTGTCTGTTTGTTTTGGTGGTTCTTTCGACCATGAAAGTATTAACCGAAGAATAACTCAAAGCACCTGTAAGCTGCTGTTTGTGAATATGGCCGGTCTCATTGTAATGAATACGTTTTTATGAATAGATTTGGATCACGGGATGATGATGTTCTAGGGCAGGGGTGGGCAAGGTTTTTGGACCAGGGGCCAACATTTTTGCCCACTTAGACAGGCGGGCCATGAAAGTGTGACGTAAAAAGTTAATTTATGAACATTATTTACAGTGTTAAAAAGTAAAGGTGGAAAACAGTAAGCCTCGTGCCCAAACTAAATTTAGCCGCAATCTCAACAAAGTCCTTGAGCTATTTCAGCTGCAACATCAAAAATTATTATCAAGAATTACCCAGCGGATTTGGCCCGTGGGCCGTACTTTGCTCATGTATGTTCTAGAAGTATCTGTAAGGTGGTTTACGTTGCGGCTGGTCGGAAAATGACTTCCTGCATCATCAAGTCCTCACCTAAGAATTGTAAAGTATTTTCATGTCGGGCGCGAAGGGGAGGCCGTAGTTCTCCCTATGATTAGTATACTAAAAAAATATCTTGAGTATATATCGAAAAAATGTTCTGCTACAGATTGGTTTTGAAAATGATGTAGGCCTACATTTTCTTAAACCTTTTTTTTTACAACAAAACACTGTTGCACTGTAGAATCCAACGCCTCTACTTGCGTTCCAGTTAATCTGGTCCGAGGTTTGCTTAATGTTATTGCTCCTCTGGAGCGGATGTTGCAGACATACATATGGATATTTATGCAAGAGCGAATAAATATCATCCACCAAACCATTGGAACAGCATTGCAATAGATATTATTTGGCCTGTGCCAGTCAATACGCTAGTTTTAGGGAATATCGTTGATGCTTGCAGTGGGCTTGCACTAGGCCAGGGATGGCGAACCTTTTTCGATGAATGGGTCAAAAATTATATTTTTTTCGCTGATCAGAAGAGAGTGTCACTGATATTTAATCAATGTTTGTATATTAAGAAACGTCTGAAACAAATCTTATCTAAGCTTCTGTTGGTGTTGGTGTAGGTTTGGGATTATGCATCACTTCTATTAGGGACTTTTAATGGCTTTCGATTTTATGAAATTAGAGTAGGAAAACACGCATATTAATTACCAAAAACGTTTAGGATGAGGCGGAAAATGATTTTACGGTTCCAAATAGTTTGGAGGGAATTCCACTCTGATAGTGTTTTATTTTTCGATTAGCTTTCAACCACATTAGTGCACTTTTACACTGCTCCATTGGTATTTCAGATTTTGTTTTCTCAACGGCATTGTAGGCAGCAAACTAATAAAATGCAAAGTAGCATCTAGTTCTCGTATGACCCCTAAAACAGTCCGCAGATGTTCTTCCGAAAGAGACAAGACGTTGCGAGAAATGAACAGATCAATGGCATTGATATGTCATAAACGATGTCAGAGTCAATAGCTGAATTACGGTAAACAGCGGTGAAGACATGCGTCCAAGATTAGAGTTTTTAAAAAATTACCATACCGGCTCGGAAATATAAATTTGAATATGAGCGATCGCAGCCTTGACTGCCCAACTGACGGTACATTATAATAGTCTAGTCTAGTTATTGCTAGATTAATTTGAAGCCGGTTTTATCAATTTTTATCACTGATATGTTAGCATTTTTTATTTATTTCATTCGTGCCTTGGTGGGTCACGAATAAAACGAGGTGTGTCACTTTGTGACCCGCGGGTCAGTGGTTCGCCATCCCCGCACTAGGCAGTGTCGTACCCAGTGCAGTCTCTTTTGATATTTTCACAAGCTAATTTTATTAAAATTGTCCTTTGTTTTCTTCCGTGTAACGTGCTATGCTCTGAACGCCAGTATTATGCCGATAAACTAGAATTCTAAAAGTACTACCTATCATCCCACACACGTATGTTTTGTGCCAGGACGACGACGATAATTATTTTTTTTCTCGCTTGGAGCTGTGCGTCCACTGTGAAAAAGGCATAATTTTGCGAGCATCGGTTACTTTGCCTTAATTTGATTGGAAGAGTGGATCCATTATTCAAATTTCCGATTTCCCACAGATGAATGAAAATTATGACTGAAAACGATGTTGGAACTGGGCTGGGTATATCGAATAGAACTTATTCGAATCGGTTCAGCCAAAAATTTCGAATCGCCGCCATCTTTTTTTTTCTCTCCGCAAAAGGTCAGATCAATGGTGTTTTGTGTTTCTCATTATTGTATAATGCAGGCCAGAAAAGTTGTCTGTGTGTCAAATGTAATATATTGATATTTTGTTTGTTATTAGCATGTCTCGACATGCAGGATCCAATTCTGAAAAAAAATATTAGGTACAAGAATTGATTAAAACAATGAATGAAAGATTTGTAATAGGTCTAAACTTCCTTTAATATTCATCCCTTGTGGCTCATGTGTCCCGAAAAGATGAAAGTAATGAGATTCCTTGTTCTTTCGATAAATGTGGTCATGAAATAGTTTTTCAATGCCATTGATACTAAAATCTTTAAGCGAATGATTGGGTCGGATGATATCTTTTGATCCATATTTTTTCAATGCAATTCTGACATATATATATATATTATATATGATTTTTTTTCTTATGAGTCAGCCTATTGATAGAAAATGTTTTTATTGGATGCGAACGCTCAGAAAACTGTCTGAGTGATGAATTCTATGTTTTCAGTAATTCGTGCGTATCCCAAGTATTTATGATTCGATTCGAAACAATATTCGAAAAACTAAACTTCAGCTTTTACGCCACCATTGACATCTTGCTGATTAGTTGATGCTAGGAGAGTAAACAGGTCGATTCTCTGAGATGAAATTGAAAATGAAATTTTTTTCCTCATTGGTTTAGCAAAAAATGTGTTAGGCCTACATAACGATTGTGGATTGAAACGAAATGATGCAATCAATTACCAGATTTTATTTATATGTATTTGGTTTAAATGTAATCAAATATCTAAATATAATCATATATCGCTACACTTTAAAGATCATTTAGGGGTAAAAAACGTATATATTTTGCTAGTTGTTGGTTGATGTGTTGTATAGCGGACGACGTTAAATGACGAACAGCAACAGTAGCGCCTGCGCCAATTCCCCAAGTCTTCATTGAACCCCCCTAACGAGACACTCTTTTAATATCAACTCCGACCTTCTTGATCCCAATCCGTCCGATCTAATAGGATAATCAAACAGTGAATAATAATGAGGTTAGGTTATATTATATAGTAAATTAACATGTACGAAAATGTCCTAATCAAGTGCGTGACTTAGATAAATTATAATAAAACTGATTTCTCATTGTGACATGGCTTGCTTGGGGCTATTTAATTCAATTATGTCCAGTGAAAAGAACAAGTTATGGCTGTTTATGATTTTAAGTAAGTTTAAATTGACTGGTTTGACTCCGTTTAACATTATTAATTTGAAAAAGAACAGAAAAATGTTACTAAAATAACAAGATTATCCCTGAAATCATATTGTTTTGCCAATATTAGTTTTGCTTTGATATATGTATGAGTATTTTAATTTTATTGTATCAATCAAGTGCTGTTTTTTACATAAGACAATATATCTATTACACATGGGTCTTGAGCCTCTGGAATGTTCCATTGAGGTTTCTTCCCGCCAAAAAGGTTGGAAACCCCCTCTATATTTAATATTCCAATGTTTTCAAGCCGCCGAGGACGTTGATGCGCGGGGAAACATCAATAACAACTAACAAGGTAAATCTCAAATCGTACCTGAGTCTCTTTCTGGGCAGTTGATTTTATAACAAATCTTATTTTGTGCGTTTTAATTTCGATTGAAAAGTTAAATAATTCCGCCTTTTTTATATTTTATTTTGATCTATGAAAATAATATTTCAACGCTCCCAAGTTGTCTTGGCTTGGCGGTTGGCGCATCATGCTGAGCGATACGAATACGTTTGTTAACGCACCTCCGATTTCCCTGCGTGAGTTCGCATTTTCGAATCCAGTGGGGAAAATAAGTAAATTGCGGGAGTCCTCGCCTCCGCTGGATCGTTCACGTAACACCTGTCGGTTACGGCCTTCTCCAAAACATGTTATTAAAACAAATAACTGGCTGACTAATACCATTCACGACAAAAATAGTAACCGGATTAACGAGTATTATTAATCCGTCTTATCGACTTTCATCTACTCCAGGATAAATATGAAGAATCCTATTGACCACCAGTGGCGCGCATGGGTTTCAGTTTATGTAATTCCCCTTCTCTGGCGTTTGAACTGTTGTGAACTCACAGTTGCTCGGGGAGACCACGCTCGCTACGCTTTGCCAGTTTCTATTCCATTTCTCATCGAGAATTTATCTCATAATTGTTTCAGGCAATCGTTTTCCAAGTGAAAATTTTTGTATTTAGTTTTTGGTACAGTGTGTCAAGTTTTAAAAATTATTTGAGAAAAAAGAACGAGATGTTTTAACATTGCAGGTTCGGTAGCTGTCTCAGAGTCCAAGCCCTTTTTTCGAGCCTCGACAGTTTGTCATAACACTCTGACACTATAAAATCATTCTATCATTTATGGAAATTTCATATTATAGCTTCCTTGATATATAGCTTGATGTCAACATGAAATGTACGTAACACTTTTCTAATGTTCTGTAGACAAGATCAAACTTTTAGATGCAGCTTTCGCGATTATTATATGAGACTAAAGTAAGTTTGGCTCTACATACTGACATAACACAGTGTAAATATAGAACAGCAGAAGCCTTTAACAACATAACGATTAAATCCGCCGTACCGTTTACAAGATGAATATTGTGATAGCTTAATGCAGTAATGATACAGGTAGTACTGTAGTACCGGTATACTATTTGTGATAACAATTAAATCAGGAGAAGATCACAACTCTGAATTTGGCATACACGCAATAGTTTATATAGGAATACACCATATAATATAGTTAAATAATCAACTTTGGACTACACAACTCACAGACTCAAGATCAAATTACTTGCACCTATAGTTGTATAGTATATGAGAATAAATAACGAAGAGAAGAAAAAGTAAATAAGGACTGAAATGGCACAACTAAACATAAAAAAATTTGAAAAAAATTGTATATCGTTACATGAAATTCATAATAAAATGAATGGAAAAACCGATCTGCTAAATAATTTTAGTGCAAACTGAACAATAACAAATTAAATTATTTCTGTATTAGCATATTCACTTTTGTGTGTGAGCATACTCACTTTTTAATGTGTAAACAGCTTCTAAAGATAGGCAAAATACATTGGCTAGTAGTCACAAGTATTTATGAAACAACATCGTCACAATTTTTGTTTTGTTCTCTTTAGATTTAATGTTTTTATTTATCCCCCGTTATCCTCATCCTGTACATCCTGAGTACAAAGCTTCAATATGCCTGTTACATCAGAAGTGACTTCGGATTATTCAGGATCTCTGACTCCAACATCTTCTGAGGAAGAAAGTGAAGAAGAAGAGGAGGATGCTCACGGAAAGAAAGTTTCGTGAGTGGATTTTAATTGTCATCAATGTTGTTTATTCATTCATTATTTTCTGACACTTGAAATGAAAATTATACTGTGTCACCTCAGCAATTTTTCATCTAAGTATTTGTTTTATCAGGTTGTAATAGTCTGGAGAAGCACTGATACATTGACTGAAGAGAAGATCTTCCTAATTGTATAAAATAATACTATTTTATTAGCAGTTAGCATTTTATACAATTCAAATTACTTTTCATTTATAACATGCTTATTTACGCATTTAGCTCCAAACAAGGCCTTATACAAGTAGCCACTGATATCTCACAATATGTGAGGAGTTAATTTTTTTTTGGGAGGACCGGAATATTTCCGTCTCAACATTGCTTACCCAATTTATTACACCCTGGGTGAGGTGGTAGGCATTAGATTTGAACCCGAGATGTGTAATATGCGATGCCAACACAGTTAAGTTTAATGCTGCCCATGGTGTTAAAACTATATCTTTTTACATTCATTCCCCAGAGGTTGTCTTTATTTTGAAAGTGTGCTTTGTATTTTGTACAGACTAGCATGACTTATAGCTATTGTTAAATTATAATGGGAAACATGTATTCAGGGAAAGCTCAAGTCTTCTATGGTCTGGCACAGGAGCAAAGAGAATCGCTTTCATCATGTTTAGACCAGAATCTTTGATTGCTCGAGATAAGCGACTTAAGTCAATTGGAGGTATTATTGCATTTTGTATCTTTTTTACACTGTCAAACATCATTATTATTAGTAATGAACTTGTTTTATGATTAAGTTTGATTAATTGAATGAATAAAATTTAAAATTTACTCATTTTTTGGACCTCCTGAAGTATGCGCACCAAGAACTCAGGTTGTGTACCAGGTTAGGGTTCAGGTTATGCGACATCTTGGTGCGCATACTTCAGGAGTACCCATTTTTTGTACAAATAAATGTGTTAAATGTGAGTTTAGTTGTAACAATTTATTTTTGTCAATTAAATTTAAAAATTAAGAAATATAACTTTATTTAATCATTATAGAATCTAGAAAAATTATAGAAATTAAAGTCATCATAATAAAATTATAAAAATCGAAATAAAAGTTTTTGGTTTATTATCAGAATGGTGAATACAAGTTGATCTTTATCTTATCGATTCTTATCTTCAGAAAAATATCACCTCGCTTATAAAATGGTGAAGACGGAAAGCAAATTAGTGAGATCTGTTCTTTCAACATACGGATTTCATGAGGTAATCTTCAATTCTTATGGTGGTCTACCCTTTACCTTCATGCACTGAATTTCCTATATTTTTGTCTGCAACATAACATATGATGATATGAAATTAGATTTCACACTATAATAGTCATGACATCTGACTAATCTGACTTCGCAATTGTTTACTAATCTACAAATACGGTGGTTTGTTTTTATATTGAATGAAATTCCAATTTGATTGTCTAAAACAGTTTTCTAACCGAAAAGGAATTTTGTTGTTTTTTGGGAAGGAAATATTACCTTGTGTTTAGTGTAGTTTTATTAAGTATTTGAGAAATTATATAGTATCCGAAGTGCACAAAAGTCTGATTTGCATGTAACGCTAGTTAAAGATCCATTAAAGATTGAACAAGTAGTAGTTTTCATGTATGGTGGGGGAGGAATAAAGAGATATAAAATAGGTAAAGGAAGGCAAATTCATCAAAAAAGTTGGGAATCATTGATCTGAAAAAATTCAATTCTGCCAATGTGCCAATATCATTAGATTAGTGATGTCTTAATGATCTTTCCTTGATTGTTTTTATTTATTGCAAAGAGTTGGAAATTGGAATCACTTTGTTAAATTTTTATTCTTTTTTGAATCTAACATTATTTTATTGAAGGTTCATCCAAACAGCCCTGATTTCAATCTCATGTGGACAGGAGCTCACTTGAAACCATTTTCACTGAGAACTTTACAAGATTTTCAAAAAGTCAACCATTTTCCAAGGTTTGTCTGCAAAATAGTAGTTATTTCAATTTTATTACTCTTATTCTGGTTGACCCTAATTTTAATCCTAGTCGATGCTAATTCAAAGCCTTTTTAATGGAATGACTTCAATTAATTTTCTCTTTACCTAGGGAATACAAGTACAATGCCACCTATAGTTATATCCTATACATTATTATATATCGGCAATCGGCATCATCCGATTACTCATTCTATTATCTCTGTATATATATATATATATATATATTACCGTTAAATCGTTACTAAATTTGGTCCATGGAAAATTAAGATAGCAGTCCAACCAATTTTATGATAGTGTATGTCTTATTGCTTCTGTTTTTGAATACCCTTATCCTCTTTATGGCATTCAATTGTACAGTATATCTAGAAAAAATATTGATACAATGTATAATATCTTGCATTATCATGCCTATTCATTAGGTTTATACTATTTATTATTATATAAGTTTTCTAAAATTAGAAATTTTTTTTTGTATCAAAGATCTTATGAAATAACAAGAAAGGACAGATTATTCAAGAACATAGATAGAATGGCACATACGAAAGGAGCGAAACACTTTGATTTTATGCCAAAAAGTTATTTGATGCCTTCTGAATATCAAGACTTCTGTGGTTTGTATTTATTTATTATTTAACTGGATATACGTTTTCTAATTAAAATAATATGAAATATTCGACTCAAAATATTATTTATTTTTGAAGAACTAAATTCTTTGTACCGTCAAACATTATTATGACCTTGTTTCCCATAGATTTATATGGCGTAGTTTAATTGTAGGTTTCTTGTGTTGTATACAAGTGAAAGAATTAATAATAATAACATTGGATTTTATTGGATTGAAAATTAGAAAAGTTTTTCTTTGTTATATTGACTTTCAAGTTCGGTGTGAATATTTTTTGTATATATGAGGGTACTCCTGTAGTATGTGTATCATGTTAGGGTTAGGACATTATTTTATTTTGATTTTCCTTATTCTAGTTCTATTACGAGTTTGCATTGTCTGTGTTAGCCAAGTGAATATACCCCCTGCCCAGAGGTTTCAGTCTGTTTACACAACTTGATTTAAAACAGGCGAACAAAATCACACACACCTCTGGAGCGTCTATATGAGTAGTTAAAAAAAGTAGGAAAATATCTTTGAATGCCACTTTGTGCATTGAAGAAAATTAACTTATGAGTCAAAATTGATCTACTGATCAATATGCATCTATTATAATACAGGGCACATGCTGATTGACCAACTTTCAACAGAATATTAAATGTAATGCAAGTGAATCATACATTTTTTATTTTCTAACAGCTGCTTATGTGAAAGACAAAGGACCATGGATAGTAAAACCTATTGCGTCATCTCGAGGGAGAGGAATCTATCTCATCAATAATGTAAGCTAGAACATCACCTTTTTCTTTTTCACTTATTTGATTATGTTTGGATCAGGCTTGGTAGCTGAGATAAACAACCTTATTTTTGGATTGAATTTTGAATGTTTTTCTATTGACTAAGAATGTCATTGTTATTAATTTTTTAGTGACAAAATATGACCTGTGACTTTGGAACAGGCATAGGGAATTTAGCACTTAATCAAACTAATTCAGTCTGATTGAATGTAAAATATTGATCGCAACTCGCAAGTCTCTCTTATTTTGACCATTTTGTTTTCACAGATATATAAGAGTATAAGATTCGTTCTTGGCATATAGATGATATTTTGTATGTGATCTCTTCAATTTTAAGTATTTGCTGAATAGTTAATAATATCTTCATTTGTTAATCCGGTAATCAGAAATTGTCACTTATCACAAGGGCATTGACAATATACGGCCATTGAAATCTTTGTAAACTTCAAACACCAAGTTGTTATTCTGATTTTGACTTATTATATAATTTACCATATTACAAATTTTATACTCTTTTAATGAGTAAAAAGTTAATAATTGTTCCATGTGCCATACTTTATGGCTATTTAATTGCCTCGATACAAACATAAGTTTCAGGTCGATTCAAATCTGCCAATAATATCTCATTTTTATTGCTCCCCCCAACCCCTGTTTTATTTTAGCTGTTTATTAACAAAAAGATATATTGATACACTAAAGTTATACGACATGTCAAAACAATAGAAACAATTGTTCTTATATGCAGACTGACTGCTTCAATTAATTATTGGTTTGAGCTGAAAAAGGTATTCCCATGTGGAAGAAAAAGTTCAATGTAATTATCCCAAAGAGAGAGAATTCAGTTCAAATGAAATTGAAAATTATCAATACTATCAGTACGAACCACGAAGAACTGTTCAAATTAATACATTTCTTAAATCTTCATCTTATTTTATTTATGTTATTTGAAATTGGGGAAATTCAATAACAGTGGGATCTTAGAGCAAGTAATTTTTCTTTATTCTCCCATTATCAAGCTTTTGTTGAAAAAAAAATTTTTGCACATTAAAATCACAAAATGTTGCATTTGAATGGAATTCGGTTGCCTTACACAGAACGCCATGACCTTGTTTTTGACAAACTTAAGCAACCTTTTTGATTAAAACATCTCATTAACCTTTCCAGCCAAATCAAGTACCTCTTGAAGACAACATTATGGTCTGCAAGTACATTGCCAACCCTTTGCTCATTGATAGTTTTAAATTTGATATTCGTGTCTACATCGCAGTAACTTCATATGATCCACTTATGATTTATTTATTCGAAGAAGGACTAACCAGGTATAGTACTTTTCAATGAATAATAAGCATCATTATTTTTTTAATTAGTAGAACACTATCAAGCTTTTTTAGGACAAGGTTTCTCTTCGTTTTACTAACACTACTAAAGTTATAAGACACTCAATATTATTAGTAAATTTTTAATCGAAAGAAACCAGTATATAAATGTGGTAAAATTTATTTTTATTTTTAATGAAACTCTTTTTATTCTTTTAAAATTATTTGTAATGGTATATGCTAATTAGCTTGTATATGCTAATTTGTAATAGCCAAGAAATACCAGTAATATACAGTAGAAACTCTACCTACAAAATTAATTCGTTCTGGAAGCCTTTTAGTAAGCAGAAAATTTCATATGTTGGAACGCATTTTACCCTTTTAATGTCCCAATTCGTTCTGAGCCCCTACAAAACTGTAACAAATACTCGTTAGAATTAGATTTCTGCATAATAAATAGAAAATATAGACATGGAAAGATAATAAAAACTATTAATGGTAACTCTTGTAGTTTCGCTAGCAACTGTAGCTGAGGGAGATACATTGTACTTACCCGTGAGAAACAAACTGGCCAATGATATGGCAGGAAGTTGCAGCTCAGGTACGGCCCTTTCGAACCAAGCTGCCCATCGGCTTAAACGGCCGGCGGCGTGTTTTTTAAATTTTCGGTATTGGGCCTTGTGTATGTAGAAGCATCTTTCGTTAATCGGAGCAATATTTCTTCGAAAAGACATTTCGTAACTTGGAAATTTTGTATTCGGGGTCCTTTGTTAGTGGAGGGAGGTTGTACTGTAATTGTATTTTTCTGGGAGATGGATAAATTTGTACGAATTGGGATGTTAAAATATATCATGTATTTGTTTTTATTACAGGTTTGCGACTGTAAAGTATGAAAAAACACATCGTCACTTGAAAAACCAAATGATGCATCTGACTAATTACTCAATTAATAAAAAGAGCCATGATTATGTCAGGTATGATGAATAACATGACCTAGCATGGTTTGATTCCGAATACTAAGCACATTCTGGGTACCCTAGAATGACCTTTGGTAATAAATTCGAGTAACCTAATTCAACGATTGGCGATTGGGGCGATATACTAGGAATACACTCGCCATCGCACATCTGATTATCCTGTGAGGTTTCACAGGTTCAAATGCTATGATGGAAATGTGCGAGATGATTGCTGGATTCCCTGTCGTTTTCCGGATGGTTTAACTAACTGCTTTGTTTCTCCATGCAACTGAAATAACGAGAATATCGGTCAGAGACCGAAGACTTATGGATCGAAAGTTAGGGGATCCCCCAAAACAGCACTCTTACTCCATAGTGACACCTTGTGTCCCATCTCTAATTAATTAATAACTCGCTAATTATACGACATAATTCATCCAAAATCAATAGGCTTCTGGTCTGACATATAATAAATGCACATGCAAAATCTTGAGCAGATCCAATCTCGCTTTCGTGAGATATCTCGTACATCTTACAGACAGACAGACAGACATACAGACAAATACCTATCAACATACTTACCGATCTTAAGATCTGGTGATTAACTATTCCTATTTCCCATGAAGCAGCATATGCTGCATGTAATTTTCTATTTATTTCTATATTTTATACTTATAGCATATTTGTGTCAGATGTAGTTTGTGGCATATATTGAGACATAATATGGTTTTGTTATTTTTTGTGTAGACCTCAAAGATTTACAAATCAACTCGCCCCTGTAATGTTTCCCCTGGTCATACCTGAATATTAAACGCTTGAATAAATGTGTTTTTACAAAAAAATAACAAAAAAATTATTCTCATTATAATTTAATCAATCAACTTTTTAGCTGGGTTAATAAAACTTCTGATCATCTGTCCAGGGGCGGACACTTTCCATAATTTTGGGGGGGCGAACTTGGATCGCCTACCGAAAAACACCGCGCCGTGTATCGTCACGTAACAATAACCTGTCGATGTCATTCTCTGAGTATTAGCATGTCAGTTTGCTACTCATATATCGATTACCTAGGCTGCTTTGCTCGGACACGAAACTTGCGCGTCACTGAACCAATTTCTTGAATTCCGCGAGAATAAGCCCACGGCTCTTGCTAACATACAGAAAATAAAAAATTTGAGGAGTCGTATTAGGTTATTGTTTCAATTCCTAGTTCTGCATAAAGCGCACTAACGCCGTTTCGTGAAATTAGAAATGCAAAACAAAGTAACAAGCTATTGTGCGAATTTTTTTCCTAAATTTTACCAAGGAATTATCATTTGACTAGTAGAATTGCCATTATTGCCGATTTATTAAATCATCATTTGAACTCGAAATAACATTCAGGATTCACGCAATGACTTTGCAGGGTTTTTATTTATAATTCAATACGAAAATAAACAGGCACAAGTTCAGGCGCGCAGCCAGGATTTTTAAAAAAAAGGCGGGGTCAAAGTCGGAACTTCCCACTGCCGTCTGCAACAAGCACCGCGATTACGCGCTCAATAAAAGAGCCGCCTATTTGAGCGTATAATGATTTTTCTGTCGATCCATGACAGCCACGAGATTCTAAAATGTCCTTATATATTAAATTGTGTGCAACCTAACTCGCGGTTGCGACTTCTTACGTCAAAATAAAAATATTACTAAACTTAAAGTACCACGGCGATATGTGGACATAAAAATATGAGATAAGCTGCCTGATGTATTTAATTTTGATACGTATTTTTGCAATCTTCCGAACTCGTTATCGTCGTTACAAAAATCTCGATATCTGATATAAAATCCGATATAGTACAATTTTAATTCATACAATGAAAATAATTATAAGGTATACTAGTAAATCAAAAATACAAATACACCGCCTCGAAATCCACGCGGAACAGTCGCCGCGATTACGCCACTTGTTAATAGAGCCGACTTCATCAACGAAAAATGATTTTTCACTTGTGCAAAGTAATAAATCAAAGACCGATACGGGCATATTCAAAATGTCTTAATTTATTAATTTAATTGTCTTCAATTTAAACTGCGGTTGAGTCGACAAAACAAGGGCCACTCTAAAACACGACGGAAAAAACCTTTCGAAAAATCCGTAAATTTTCTGTCAATTCTCACGTAGTAAAAGTTATTTCAGTACAACAAAAATACATAAATAAATACAAAAAGTGATCGAAAATACTTTAATTATCTTATATATCATCACAAACCGTGGAAAAGTCGCGTTCTCAGCTTTGTTTAATGTTAACACGAAAATTTTCGACGTCAATTTTAAAGTAATGGATAAAAAGGCAAATCCCGCTCACAATTGACCGTGTTTCGATTTTAGTAACGAAATAATTTTAAAGGTCAAGCAAACATAATTTGTGCCGCTGGCACACGAAATTTTGCGATTTTCGATGCCTAGAAAAGCGTTTTTAGACTGTCGCGGGCCTCAAAACTTATATTGTTTACAGTTTTATTTTTAGTATTTTATATTGCCGCTTTTCAACTTTTCGACAAAGTAAATGCTTTGATCTTTGCCCGCAAATTATGCTGGGCCTTGCACGAAATCCATAACGTAAAAAGATACGTCCCGCGGCGAAAATTGTTTAAAACAACTTTAGATCTAGTTAATTTTTTAGCGATAATGATTAATTGTTGTAATAAAACACAGTTTGCCTCTTTCATTTCTTTCGCAAGTGCCAACAATAACACTATTGAAAGATTTTGACAATGAGAAAATCATATTAAATTGTACAAAAACGAGTTAGTTGTGCAAAACCGTGGCGCGTGATCGGCGGTGCGTTTGAAGACGGAGTATTACCCGTGCGGACGCGCATGTTTCACGAAAATGTGAGGTGCTCCGAAGGCGCATTATTGTAAGAAAACAGTTATAATATCGGTAACTATTAACCGTTTAATGGCGCTTGACTATCGCACTTTTCGGAAATGATAATTTTGTAGGGCAGAAACAACATGTATTAAATTTTTTTGCGAAATTATTGGGGGGGCGACCGCCCCCCTTCGCCCCCCCCGGGTGTCCGCCCCTGCATCTGTCTGAATTTTGTATCACTTTTAAATATGAAAATTGTTGATGGATGCTCGTGTGTTGAAAGAATCTGAGGGTGACGAGATTGATACCCCTGATGTACCATATATGCGATATTTTCTTCTACAGATGTGAAGACCCAGATGTTGAAGATTATGGAAATAAATGGAGTATGAGTGCAATGTTAAGATATTTAAAACAAGAAGGAATTGATACAAATGCATTAATGATGAGAATTGAAGCTGTTATTATTAAAGCTATTATTGCTGCAGAATTACCAATTGCAACAGCATGTAAGATGTTTGTTCCGAACAGAGAAAACTGCATGGGTGAGGAATGACTTGTTTTAATCATTATTCGTTCTGACATAGCTTTAAAAAAGTTGAACATAACTTGTATCTTCAGCATAAAAACACAAATTTTTGATAGTTCTCATAAATCATGTCTATCTATACTTGTGTACAATGAAAAGAACATGGAATATTCATGCGAAAGCATTGATTTGATTCATGAAAAACTATTTTTTTACCAAAAAATTGTGTCACCCGCTTGATACATGATCAAACTAGATTATAATATAATAATAGAGTTGTTCGACCAAGTTTTCTTTGAATATCACAAAACTTATTTACTCCCTTATTAAAATTTGTTTCACTTTTTTTTATGTATTTCTTATAATTTCTGAACTCTGAATGTAAGATTCTTTTGATCTTATGTCAAAGAATAACAAAGGATTAATATTTATAGCTTTTTGTTGTCTTATCCCAGGATTAAATGCTATGTTATGTGACACATTGTCAGTACAAATGAATAAGGCTGATGTACGGCATTATGAGCAAACAATAATTCCCTATTTCTAGCCAACTTTCTTATATCTTGTTGGCAAATTCGAACTCTTTAAGTAATTATGCTTTTCTAATGTCCAGCCCCCAATTATGTGCATCAAATTGGGTATATATTGATATTTATGAAAAATAATCAAAATTTAATTTTCGGTGGCCATCTTGCTTTGTGTCATATAACTTTTTAGTAAATAATGTGTTATTTTCTTTCAGAATTGTATGGTTTTGATATTCTTGTTGACGAGAATCTGAAGCCATGGTTACTTGAAGGAAATCTGTCACCATCTTTAGCATGGTACAGAATTTTATCTTCATTTAGCAGTACATTGTCTTGTGTCGCTGTATTTTATGATTCTTTGGTGCCAACGAACATCTGCTCAACCATCTAACTCAGAGAATTATTGTAATTTTAGCCAAGATTGCATAAAAATGTTTCAAATACTCTGTGGCATAGTTTCTTTATTTTCTATCGATTAAAACAGTAGTTTTTTCTAATAGTTGTACAGCCTATTTCTGTTTGTTCATCAGGCATTCATTTTTTTTTTCAAAATATTTACTCAAAGCAAGGTCACAAGAACTCACTCAGAGATTAAAGATAGTTGATCCTGAGCGAAGCTATGGATGGTTACTAAAATGTAAAGTCCTACTGACACTATAAAGCAAGGGTGTGCAACCTGCGGCCTCACAAGGCCCACAAGGAAAAATTGTACAGCCTGCGGAGAAGTGCCATCTTTGAATGGTGTGTGGCCCAAAATCGAGTTTCTAATTTAGTTTAATCTAGTTCGTGCAATTCCAATCCTTTCGCATTACAAAGCTTATACCTGGGTCCGATTTATTATCTATGCCAATGACATTACAATGGCCTGGCTTGGCGTACATCTACCAGAAAGCCCATGTTAAGTAAAGATGCGGCCTGCGGTTTCACCTTGTTATTTGTATCTGGCCCTCTTGTATTAAAGGTTGCACACTCCTGCTTTAAAGAATTACATGTGGGATTTTGTATTAGGTAATATCGATTGATGTTAGACTTGAAGCAGTTTGTGTCAATACAATCAGGAAAACAGCAATTAGGAAGTGAATTCTAAGTAACTGGAGTTCTTGGAGATCTGTTAGGCATACTGACTGTAAATGAGTGATAGTTCACAGCCAACCGAGTTTGCCGGTTAATAATTTTGGTACTCCCGTAGTATATGTATATACCACGTTAGGCTTAGGCCATAATTTTATTCTGATTTTGCTTATTTTAGTTCTATTACGAGTTACAACTTCGGGGACTGTCTGCGTTAGCCAAGTGAATATACCCCCTGCTCATAGGCTTCTGTCCCTTTACACAACTTGATATAATGTAGGCAAACAAAATTAGTCACCTCCATATTGGTACACATACTTCTGTAGCGCAATAATTTCTATATAGGCTAATACAAATTTTATATTCTTTTTTAGTGATGCTCCGCTTGACTTGAAGATCAAATCTTGTATGATTTCTGATTTTTTCAGTTTAGTTGGTGAGTCTTTTATTCCAATTTCATGAATAAATATTTTGATTATTATTTAATTCTTCAATTATTTCTAATCCAGGTTTTCAGTGTGTTGATCCTCTGACACGAAGACAAAAGAAAGATCAAATGAGGGTAAGCCTTCAGTTATAAAAATCAAAGCTTAAATCTATTGGCAATAAGTTTATTTGAAAAGGTAATTATATAAAAAAAAATTTGTACAAATTTTGCTGCAATTTTTTTTTAAATAATTTTAGTAGAACTGAAGATTTTTAGGTACGATTGTTGCAAATTAAATTTGTAAATGACCCTAAACTTATAGTCCAATTTTATTTCATTTTTGAAGCATACAGAATTTTTTTGTTTTGTTGACATCAATATTGATAATCTATGCGGTAACATGAAAATATAAGAATTATAAGTGTGTTATATTGTTTTGTCATCAAAAATTCACATTGTCGTATTGACTCGTATATAGTAGCAACTCATTGATTGCCAAGACCCTCTTTGTCATTGTGATGTTATTGTTCATGTCATAGTGCACTCAAGAAACTCTTAAAATACTTCAATGATATGGATAGGACTTATCTCAGTGGCTTTTGTTATAATTCCTAATTATTTATTGACAATAGCTGAGTGAGCTTAAATTACGCTTCGGCACAATCCAATACATTATGCAGTTTTCTGAAATCAGCACCAATTCAAATTTTAATTATTTTTCAAATTAAAATTGCTTTTCAACACATTGTTTTCTGCTTTTCTGAGCACCGAGTTGCTTTTTTCTGGCAAATGATTTATAAATTTTTTTGATACTTTTTGTGATAAATATGCAACGCAAATTCATGGTATGCATTTTGTTTTTTGATTAATTTCTTAATTTGCAAGCATACTCTGCATCAATTGGCCTTTCTGGGGTGACACCCCCATACTTTTCTGTGATAAATATGCAACGCAAATTCATGTTATTTATTTTGTTATCTGATTATTTTTCCTAATTAGCGACCATACTCTGCAAAAGGCCTTTCTGGGGCTACACCCATGCAGGGGGTAAGTAATAAAAGTGTGCTTGATTACTTCGCTTGCTTCATTTATATTTCTTTATAATCCGAGTGTTGTCTTCGAATGTGCTTTCTAATAAAATAATCCTGTAACTGGTGAATAATTTTCACTGCGGATAGTGTTTTCTCAGTGCATGTGTTTCTGTAATTTCTGCAGAATATTCAAATTTAGTGTGCAGCAGTTGATTTTGGTTTCCGTATGTCACTAATTTGTTGCAACTTGTTCAAGATTGTTTCAATCTCAAATGTATGGAAACCTTTCATTTGTTTTCCAACATATATATATACAGCTTCTGAATAAAATTTACTTACCTTTCCTCAAAATATAAAATTGCCAATTTTTTTCTGTTTGTGTAATGGAGCATATTATTGGTACATAAATGTTAGATCGCTCACGCTCACTATTTTTTACAAATGCATGTGACAAATGCACTAGAAAAGTTGAATGCCAATCAGATACTGCAACACTCTGTACTGTGGAGTCTTATTGGTTTCTAATGACAGATTATTTCTTTAGCCTGGTTCTTACTTCATTACATAATGCGATCAAACAGTCATCAGTTAGACATTTTGATCATTTCTATCAATACACTTTGTGTAGTTTTTTTATTTTGTAAAACATGCTACTACACTCATCCACAGAGTTTTCTGCGAGGCTAATTAAATATTACCGGTAGATGTATCTCATCTTATTTAAATACAATAGTGATTTCTGTGCTTTATTTATTGTCACATTTTTACCCTGAAAAGTTAGTTCGAACATTGAATCTTAGAACTGTAAAATTGAATGAATTTATGAAAAGTAGTTTGTATTTTGCGTAAAATCCAAAAATACTTCGGAAGAAGACAAGTTAACAGTACTATTGGAATTTGAGCATTGTTTTTTCAAACATTGGATTAGAAAATATATTGAAGGTTTTACTACCAATCAGGGACATTCTTGAATTATTATAAAGGATGCTGTATCTTATTCTCTCTGTGAAGTAATGTGTTACCTTTGTACATGAAACTAAGCACTCAAGTTTATTTTGTTTTGTTCTATTATGTGCCTAATGTTATTAAACTGAGATTCTACTTTGTAAACGTTAAAATCACTTATTTGGGTGTGCAATATCATTGTATGTGTGACACTAACGTATTTTTCTAAAACCTAATTTAATCTACTGGTAATATTCATTCAGTTATAAAATAGAGAATTAATAATTCAGTATGTATAATCATTTACCACATTGAATTCAACAAAAATTTGATGAAAGATTAGAAAATAGTAGAAAAATTTTGCTTTGCATAGGATATTTTTAGATACTGTCATAGTCTGGTCTGTGATCATGGCTTGATAAAACTGCTATTACTTATTTTTGATTTCTCTGGGGTGGTGTCATTGTGTAGTACTTTTCACTTCAATTAGAGTATTTTCAAGTTAAAATGTGATTCATGGTTTCTATTTCACAATCGATTAGCTATTGGCTTGGATATTTCTGCTTTGAATGAGAATTTTCATTTTTGAGTGCCTGTAAATATGGTTCAAGCATGGTTCAAGCAAAACTGGGTCAAAGTATAGATGGTTTTTAATGCACCAGGTATAGGCAAATGTGGCTGTTAGTTTTCTTTTGATTTAGTTATGTATAGATGAGATATGTTTAAAAATCAGTTTCACAAGGCGGAAATGTGACATAAATAAAAATAAAAATAAATGGGTGTTGTAGTTGGGAAGAGATGTTTATTTTGGAATCTCTATCGGTAACAACCAAAACAACGATGAATGTTTTGGAATTTTCAAATCTCTTGACTCTGGTAGAAACCTATATAGTTCTCTTTTCCAAAATCAATAAACCTATCCTTCAGTAGTAAAATTTTCTTTATCTCCTTGAATTTTGTTATATTTCTGTTTGGATTATTTCCATAATATCCTTTTATTGTGACCTACAAACGCTTATTTTTCAATTTTTTATTTATACGCAGATGCAATCAAAGAGACCTGTGTCTGCTTCTGGTCCTAAAGAGCCAGGTGTATCAGGTTTGAGTAATGAGGAAGCGAAGGTACTCAGGATTGCAAAAGAACAATATCAGCGACGAGGGAGTTTCATTCGAATTTTTCCAACTCCTGAAACGTGGGAATTATATGGATCTTTTCTTGAATATAAATCAAATCTCAACTTTGTACTTGCGCAGAAACTATTCCCTGAAAGGTGATTTAAATATTATAATGATTATTTTTTGTATTAATTGATCAGCAGATATCTCTTTATTCCTACTGGAATAGTAATTTATTTAACATCTTATGAGATAGTTAGAAATCATCAAGCAAAATTTTCATAGTGAATTGCATGTTTTTAGTACGCCATAAATAAAATTAAGTTTTGTTTCTTTGATATTGATATTGAATAGACACAATGGTTTCTCAATTTTCTATCATTTCAACAAATTCAGCTGCCCTGAATAATGTATTACTTTCAAATATAAACCTTACAAATATGACATTTATTGACGGATTCTCGAGCAGAAAAATTGCTCAAGGAATTTGTTGAAATTGCGATTAAATTTATCTGCCCTCTATCTGTTTTTTGCTTTCCAAATGTTTTCATATTTCCCCATTTTTTCGATTTATTTTGTTTTTGGTATGGTACGAAATCCGTCACATAATATTAAAAATTAAAATACATTTAAACACATCACAAAATTAAGACAACTTGTAAAATTTGTTTTGTAACTTCATAGGTCTGTCAATGTCCATGATTTTTATCAGAATCATCAATATATTCTAAAATAGTAATAAGATAGCCTTTCTAGTAGTTGCAGACACAAAAATTGTTTCTTTTTGTTATTGATCTCACAGCAATATTAGGGGTCCTTGCAGAAATGGTGAGTTAAAACGCATAAATTTTTGAAGAAAACTGCTATTCAAGTTTAATTCCACACCGACATTAAACTAATTCAGTGAGAAACACGTTTTATAACATCGTGTATTTTGCTAGCTAATATGACAGTGGCACTCGTGTTCTGGTATGGGGTTTGCGGCGCAAAAGGATTGGAATTGCTCCCACATACCAGATTACCTGAACTAAAAATTTGTTTCACGGCCACATCATTTAGAACTGGCACTTCTCCGCGAGCCACACAATTTTTTATTGCGTGCCCCATTTGGCCCTTGGGCCGCAGTCCGTACACCCCTGATGTATGATGACCAACTCTAAAGATTGTACAATGTATGTATATGTATTTTCTGTTCAGAGTTAAATCCAAAGCATCATCAGGGGTATATTCCACTGCTGTTGCAAGGATGAGAAGTATTGCTGCAGGACAAGTAAGTTGTCTTTTTTGCGTATTCGCTATGTTTTGACTTTCTAAGAAATATTCCGTTTTAGAACAACTTTCCCATTGTGCTTCGTTTTGAGAAAGAATGTGTTTCTAATGTGTTTTCCTACTTTTATTAACCTGACTTATACAACTAATTATGTATTGTTTTATTGACAAGATGTTGGAGAGCAGAAATCGAGTTATGACTGAACGATTCATGCAATACGAGAGAAAACTTCTTTCCCTTGAATCTCTCAAGAACAAGAAAACTAAGAAAGCAGTTAGTAGGAAAAAAAGCAAAGACACACCCATTGGTGAGTATATTCGAATGATTTTTGTTAAGTTTACCTTTCAAATGTTTATGTAATATTTTTAGATACTATAAACACCTCACACATCAGTGTCCCAAAATTTTCTCTGCTTCAGGTATTAGTGTATCACGAATTATTAGATAGTTTTGTTCTATTTTCTACAAATGTTCCATTCAAGATTTGAAAATTATAAAGTTTTAAATTTTTAAGCATAATTTTTCTCCGATGATTTAAATAGGATTATTTTCTATGTCAGGTATGTTTTGTGAATGACGAAATAGTGTCTCAAAGGAAAATTTTGGTTTTGTAAAGAGTTTATTTTTTTATATTATAGTAACAGAGAATTGAAGCAGTTGGATGATATTCAATTGATATTAGTCATATAACATGCCATCTTTACTACTATCCACAGGACACAACACTAGTACTGCCACACATTTCACACCATCATTACTACCATGGTTCCAAATAATTGATACTAATCATGTGACTAGGTTTTCTTGACTATAGGACTTAGTAGTAAGTTTGTATATTTACATTACACCAATTTATTTTTTCAAAGGTGTTGACAACAAATCTTTAGCTCAAGGTCAGTTGAAAAAATCTTCAAGGTCAACGGCGAGACAGAGTGATGATTCTGAAGAAGAAGATGACACTGATTCAGCCGATGATTCCGAAACTGAAAGAACAACGAAAAAAGAGATTTCCAAACCTACACATAAACTTTCAACTTCAGCTACTTCAAGTGTAAAATCTTCCACAAAGGCTTCTACTTCTCAGAAGCAAAAGAATACAGTTGCTCAAAAACCAGCAATTACAGGTGGAGGTGGTGACTTGAATCCACTGACAAAATCAGCTTATGCATCGGCAAGAAATTCCACGTCTGCAAAATCGCAAGTCAAGCAAAGTGCTTCGTCTTTAACTTCTAGTAGCAAAACAAGTATGTCATCAAAAAGCAGCAGTGGTAAAAATGATAAAAAGACCAAGAACTCTAACGATACTGTCATAACCAGACAGCAAGGTCAATCACAAAGAGTGTATACATATAAAAATGTTGAAAAGATCACTGACGAGGGCGGAGGTGATGCAAAATCTTGTGCTACCCCTGATAATCAACCGGTATCTGACAGTGATGATTCAACTGATTCTTCTTCTGATGAAAACGATGAACAAGCTGTCACACCAAAGCCTAGGCAACCGCAAAATAAAAGTTTGTCAACCATTAAACATGGTACAGTCAATGCTAATAGTCCTCGTACCAAACAACAGAAAAAAACACTTGATGTCCTACATGCTCTCAAATCTGGTGGGAACTTGGGGTAAAGTAATTTCTATGTTGCCACAGTAAAATCAAAGTAGCTTATGTAACGTTTTTTAAAAATAGAATATTTGCTCGGTGGTGTGGCGCATCGTGCTAAGCGTTAGGAATACGCTCCCCACCGCACCTCTGATTACTTTGCGTGGGTTCATAGGTTGAATCCCATATGGGGATGGTTATGTGCGCCGCCGCAGGGTGGTTCATCTAACCACTGGTAACTGGACGAGAGGCTGTGGTTCGCCATATGATTAAGCCGTCTTATTGTCTTTCCTCTTCCCCAGGATAAATATGTGAATCCTGATTGATTACGGACCAGTTTGTTTTTTCTATATTTAGTACGTTGGCATGTAAGGCGTGGAATATTGTGATACCATCAGTCATTCAGGGAATATTTTCTAAGTATTATATCCAAATTTCAGTATTGTAACTCTAAAATATTTTGCAATGTATTTTATGTCAAAATCGGAGTAAAAAATATAGATGTGTGTTTCAGTCATCCTCGAATACACAACACATAGGCGCGATGCTTCAAAATTTCAGATTTCTACCCTGTGAAATTTTGGAGCAATTGATAAATACAAATCTAAAAATACAAAAATGCAACTTTTCAAATTCTGAAAACGTGTCATAAAAGCCAAATTGATTCTATTGCAGAGAGAAACTCACTTTTGTTTTTTTAATCTTTTTGTAGGAAAGTGCAAGCTCGCCAAGCATTTTCTGCTTATTTATCCAGAGTGCAACAGAGATTAATGGCAGAATCTGAAAGTCATTCGCAACCAAACGCAGAAACTGTTACAAAGCAAGAAGAGCAAATGGTAAATTTACCTCAAAAATATTCTGCTTTTTTGAACTTTCGATCTAAAATATTTTCAGGTTAAGAAAAGTTGAATAAAGCAATCCTACTTTGTTCTCTAACTTAATTTTATTTCATTATTACCGGTATGTACTTCATTATTAGGACATAGCCTATGTGTTCATAAAACTGTGTCTGGTCTATTTAAAAATGTTTATTTTCAGGATCTTGTTTTACGATTCTTGAAACGTGCTGCAGGAAATCTCAAACAGTCATTTGCTGTTGTTGTGCCAAGTAGAAGGTTGTGCCTTCCTGATCGAAAAAGAATTCTTGCAAAACAACTGGGTGATTTCGTTCATATTTATAACAAAGAAACTGACACAATGGAACAGAAACAGAGTTTGGGGTCAGTACATGGACTAAGTTCATTATTTCCAGATTCTTAAAGAGTTAGAAGGTTATGATGTTGATATCCCAGATTGAATATTTTGGGTTCTAACCCAATCCCACCACCGCACCAAGGGTGTAAAAATGGGGTAGGCAAAGTTGTGTGGGAAATATTATAGTCTTTTCTGAAATAGCTTTTTTTCACATGTCAGGGGTTGGTTGTACCGAATCTTGTTCATAGGGAAATCGTGAAAACACTTTTAAAAATATATTTACACTATATCTGTTTAAGAGTTTTGATAACTGTTTTATTGAAATATCATAAAATTCCCAATGTAAAACTGCTTTCAGTTTTGCATAAAACACACTTCGACTATCCTTAATAAGGGGTAACTGTATTACCTTTAATTTATTCTTAAAATTGATGTTTTATATGTTCAAATAATCATAGACACTTCATCATGGGTGTGCAACCTCCAATATAGGACAAATACGAAACTGAGTAAAACTGGCTGGCTTTATTTAACATTGCTTTCTAGTAGTTGCAGACACAAAAATTTTCGTTATTGATCTTATGACATGCGTTGTTTGATTTGCACAAGATCAAATATAGGCATTGAAACACCAGAGGGATTGGAATTACTCACACATACCAGGTTAAACTAAATCATAAACCCGTTTCGCTGGTCCCACACCTTTCAAGATTGGCACTTTTCTACAATCGCACAATATTTCATTGTGGGCCGCTATTGGCCCGCGGGCTGCAGGTTGCACACCACCGCGCTAAATGGTCATCGATTAAAGAAAATTCAGTTTAAAAAAAACAGCCCACACAGCTTTGAAATTTAAAGTTGACATGTACCGTATATATTCACAGGCTGGAAAAAGAAGCTGTTGATGCCTGGACAGAATCTGTGCAAGAAATTTCACGCATCAGAGATTCAGATTTTCGATTTTTTGTTCTGTCTGCATCAGAAGCAGAATTAGAAGAAGTACTCACAACTTATACTCACAAAAATAAATCTGCATCTGTATTTCTTGGAGCAAGCAAACCTAAATCAAGGTGGTGTGACTTTAAATGATTTGATTTTTTCATTTTACAATTTTTTTTTGTGAACATTAAACATTTGAGAAAAATCTGACCTTCGAAGTGCTAACTTTTGAGCGATTTGCTTTTTTGTATAGTTATTTCCTTTATGGGGCAGACCCATACAGATTTTCACCATACTACAATACACATTGGAAAAACAGATTTCAGATTAAAGCTAACTATGAGTGGGGTTATGTGTGACTTAGTCCCCATCTAGTTCTTTATGCCTTCGCACTAGTGGACTGTATACGTGTAATACAAGGATATTGTAACAGGAATAAACATGACTATATCACGCAATTTAAGAGTCCTGCTGCACACTAACAGTAACACAAATGTATTTCGGTGACATGACGTTACAGAGTTTTTTGAATAATACTATTCAAGGTAGGTCGTGTCTTGCAAAATTCAATTAACAATATATAATTGAACATAGACATACCGGTATATTGTTATACTCATTTAAAAAAAAACGCAAACATGGGTTTCTCATTATTTTTCAAATAAAGAGAGAAAAGAGAAATTTCAACCCCTGCAACCATGGCGACGGCTACTTCAACGTCGACACTGTTACAATCTCGCAATAGATTGACAACAATTGATACTTTGCCTTCACAACCTCTTGTCCAAACTGGGAAAATGTATCAATCTGAAGAACATAGAGAAGGTAGTCTTTCGATTAACTCATTTAAAATGAAATACTGTTGGTTTATAACTTGATAGTATTGGGTAATCTTGTGACATTCACCCTCCCATTCAATTCTAAACTTGTGTAGGCAAATTTTCCAGTACCAATTAGTGATTTATCATGCATAAATTTTGAAATGGGATAGGATTTTTAAATTTATCTTGGGAAGATGGAAACTGATGACAAGACCTAGTCATATGGCAAGCCACGTCTGGTCACCAGAATAATTTGATTCAGATGCATGGACTTGATGGTGGAGGAATCCTTAACTGACCAGCAGTTACGTGAACAACCCTACGACTGAAGAGAGTCCAGCAATGCTCTCGCACATGATTATCTCCTCACAGGATTCAAACATGCTAACCTGTACAAGGTAGTCAGAAGTGCGATGGCAATGCCCCAGCACCACACTTAACTTGTATTTTAATTAAACATGTTGATAAGTTATCAGAAACATTCATGTTGAACAAAGCAGTCTGAATATAGTTAGAAAATTGTATGTGTTATTAGGCAACCCTGCTTGGAAGTTCTCTCTTTAGGTAAAGTGGTAAAGACACACTACCATTTGCTCAAGGCAAGAAATTGGTACCGGTAACTACAAAAGAGATTGTATGTCTTCTCACTTTCTCCTTTCATTATAATAAATTTTGTGTGATTTTTTTTTAAAATTGCAGTTAATTTGATCATTCTTGATAAATCTATCTTTTGAATTCACAGATTTATACGAATTAAATCTTCATCGGAGAAGTCAGTCCGCATATTCCTCTTTTCGAATGAGATCTCCATCTCCAGCATCTTCTGTAGCGAGTTTGTCGTCTCGTCCTGTCACAGTCTCCTCTCATTCTCATCATGGACCTCCTCACCCATCGGCAGCTTATCTAAATCAAATCCAGAAACCAAATTCTGCTGTCAGTTCTTTACAACAAGCTGCGTATGTCTATAGTTCCAAACTGACACCTCCGTCATCTGTTTTAAATGTAACCACCAATCAACAATCGAACCAAAAAAGGCCGTCCAGTGCAAGAGATTTCAATCCAGGTAAGATGCTATTAATGGAAGTTTTTTCTGTTGCATTCAAGTTCAATTTGAATTGTTTGTCAGACAGTGATGTCCATTGGCAGATGATACTCAGATAGAAAAATTTTCTTTCAAATAATTATGTTGTTAAAGATATTCTGTCTATAATTAAACTTCAAGTTATCAACTTTCTCCATTGGAATTATAGTGCATAACAGCCTGTTTTACTCAATTTATATAACAGTATATTAAATTTGTCTGTTGGGCTTTATGAATGATATATCTTTCTCATATAATACTTTTGTTGCCAAGATTGGTTCATTTATACATACTGTAAATCACTTAATATAGCCTTTTAAATCATCTTTTGGGAACAAGTAATAATGTATTTTGAATTTTTTTTTTTGGAAGACTAATTTAATGAGATAATACAGTGGTGGTTGGCCATTGTACATAGCATGAGGAATTCTTTGGCCATCGCACCTCTGAGTGTGTTAGAGGATTGCTGGATTCCTCGCTGTCGTAGGGTGGCTCACACAACTAGTAATATTCTTATTATGTCTAGTACTAAACTTTCTCTTATTTGTTTGTCAGTTTCGCAGAGTAACTCACAAAGCAACCATTCTAATAGTCGACCAGTATCTGCTGCTACAGGCAATGCAAATAGTTTAGGAGGGAGTCTTCATTACCAAACAGGTGAGCTGAATTTTTTTTTTACTCACCGGTAATTCTGACTCATTTTGTGATGAAATTGATGACTTTTGTCAAAGGTAACTAGGCACAATATATCGTTATTGTGCCTAGGATTAAATGAGAAGTTGATCAAGTCCGGCAAGTTTATTTTTTTCAACCCGATAGAGGGCGATTTTTTTTATCAATAAAAACATCACTTTTTAATACACACGATAACACATAAATACAATTGCACTTAAAAAAAAGAAGGGCGGCGACCTGATTGCAGAATGAATGTTGAGATTCTCCCCTTCACAGTGTTTGTTTCTAAATTCATCATACACAAATCATGAGAAAATGATAATTGCGCGATTTCACTGTGAAAGGAAGCCACAGGGAACCAAAACTGTTTAACAAGCAGCAGCACCCAAGGTTTTAATATCTAATTTAAATTGGGAATTTATGAGTTTTGGAACTAATGTTATGGACGGTGAGTAAGCCCACCATACAAGGCAGTGTTGTAATTCAGAAAGCTATTCAGCTATTGAAGTTAGCTGTACTTGTAATATTATTCAATTTTTAACCCAAACTCTAATACTCCAAGCATGCATTCTTGGAAGTAGCTGACAAAACTACATATTTGAAATAGTGTAAAATGTTACAGTGCACAAAATGAACAGACACTTAACTAAAAAAGTGCATTCGTAGGCAACTTTATATATATAGAATTTAATTCAGTGGTTCCCAAACTTTTTTACTTCGGCGGACCGGTAGAATTGGATGAATAAACAATATTAAAATGATCGACACAAGCATGAAATTAAAATAAGAAAAACATGAACGAGGTATCATTTTATTGACTGCCTTTTTCACTTAAATTTGTTTTTGATTACAAGAAACACTTCGAAATTATAAAATTCGGCTAACGGATGAAAATGTTTGACTTAATATTTTTTTGGTGAATGAAAAGTGTCCTCAGAATGCGTCCTTGCATGTTTCCACACCTACCAATTTTTCACGCTTTACCGAAGCATATGAAATTATTTTTTCTATGCTGTGTGGAAGCTGTCAGCATTTTTTTGACTGACGTCACGTGACGTGACATTTTTATTTTTCAAAGTTATGCCTTCTGTACTGTTTTGCTATTTATGAAAATGAGGTACATTTATTTAACCTTTTTCCATGTAATATGGCGTGGGGGGTAGTTGAAATAGTCTCTGTTCGACTTTAAATGAAAATTCTAGTTTCGCGCTATCAAACACAAATCTGGGTCGAAAATTTAAAGTTTATTAATAATTTACCAGTGTTTGTTCTATTCAAATTCAAATGTATATTTCAATCTGTATTGAATGGTAGCACATAAATTATTGTACAATTGGTATCATTGTTATCTGTTTACAGGTAATTCGATCCTTGATATACAGTATAAAAAATTGGAAATGAACTACAAAACGCTTAATATTTTTGTTTTGAGATTTGTTTATTTTGTTATCCAAGTATGATAATACTCATGTATCATTTTTCACTTGTGTGGTTTTAATTTACTGGTATCACTTTTTCTTCGCACGCAATCAAGGACTGGTACGCCCTAGGAGTCGCAGTCTTCCTGCCTTA